GCATCATGTCAAGCATGTGCTTTGTAAAGTAGCGAAACATGCTCAACTGCCTTTCGACGCAGTGAAATATACAGCGGAACGATAGCTGGCAGCATGAATCTGTCTGCCGAGCCGTCCAGAAGTACCTCTAATCAGTACACATCGCCACTCTCTTACCTCTAACACGAATAAAACCTACTTACACGGATCAACCCATCACATCTTTTGGTCTCGTCGACTTGATCGTCTCATTTACATCAAATAATGCCTTGTCGCAATTGCCGCCACTCGTGCGCCCGTTTTTTGCGCCATTTTACTCCATTTTCAACTTGGCTCACCGCCGCGTCTCAGGCCACTTCTCTTACAGTTGAAGCAGTCCATTTTGCATATCCACTTCGCTTAACGTTAATGAATGAATCTTTCCATGACCACTCCGCCGCCGCCCCTCGTGCTTCTTTGTCATTTTCACTTCTGCTCTCCAATTCGCAATGGACACCACGGCCACTTTTACGCAGAGCACTTACGATGCAATTTTGCATGCGTACAGTAAGCTCGTGCACGCGAACGACGTGCTACAGAAGCAAGCCGTTGCGCTGACGCACCTCAGTGCGGTGCAAGCAAACCTGGTACGGGCAGCAAATAAAGAGCGCGACGCAGCCATCGAGTCGCGGCTCAAGATGGAGATCGAAGTACTGGCGCTCCGACAGCGCGCCGAAATGGCCGAAGCCACAAGTGCAAGACCGGAGCAGAAGCTTGAGGAGGCCGCTCAAGATCAGCTCAAAGTCCAGCGCGAGCCCGAGTTGCAGCTGGTGCTACAGGAGAAGGACTCTCAAGACAGCAGTGCGGAGGCGACGGGCGAGAACAAGACACGAATGCAGCCGAAGCAGCGTGAGAAGACAGTCGCAGCGCCCCCCAAGACAAGCACGGCACCTCGCAAGAAACCCACAACCGGCCAAGATGAACGCGCTCGTGTGCTTGCAAGTGTCAAAGACGTTGCTATCAGGATGGGCGCTGGACCTACTGCGGGTTCTCGTGCGCGTGTTCGTCCAACGACTACTGCTCGAGCGCGTGTTGGTGCGACTGCGAGCACGGCGTCCACCCGCGCGCGTGTGGAAGCCACTGCTGCTTTCCGAGCGGCTCTTGCTTCGACTGCCGGACTTGGTGCTTCAAAGATGCTGTCAGCAAAAGAACTGGCGCGCGTGGAGATTGGAGGAAGTCGCGCCGCGCTGGGCAGCGGGTGTTAAACCACACACGTTGCCAGGAGAGGGCAACAAGCTTCCGGGATTGGCGCTCCAGAGACCCATTGCTCTCTGTTGCGTCTACCGGAGCTCATCGCTCACCGAAGGCTCCGGAACGTGGTGCGGTCAAGGCGTGGCAGCAGACTTTGTTCGAGAACGCGTTTGCGATCTGCAATTTTTCGGGGCTCATTACCCCCGTTGAAGATGCGGAACGTGGCGTGTTTTTGGACGAAGTTGAGCGTGGTGTGCATTCGCAGTGACTGATGAAGACTCATCACTCTTCGTCGTCATTGCGATTGCTTCCTGCGCGTGCTGTTGATGCGCTTGGCGCCTACGTTCTAGAGCTTATAGGTGTCGATAACCCCATGAAAGACAAGCGAAAACGTAGTTTTTATTGAAGTGAGTAACAAAACAAGTGTATGATTACGATTGCGGTTGGCTTGTTAACGTTCGCCTACTCTTGAGCAAACGTAGCTCCTTCCGTGCTCGTCGATTGCCGTACAGTGTAGTAGCCCATGCTTGAACAAACAAGCAAGCAAAAAACAAATGAGCGCTGTGCTGCGGTATTCGTACTGCTTGCAAGACGTCATAGCAAGGCACGTGCTAGAAGATATGCTTTCTGACAGGTCATCGAAGTTCCAGTGTTCAACTGCAAGACCTGTTACAGGTACGTCGCGATCTCACCTGATTGGCTAATAAGCTGACAGGTAGGACGAAGATGTGACCAGTTAACATATGGTACGAGAAAAAAGGGTCGTCATGTCGGACTATCAGGAGGAGATGATGAGTGAGACAGCGATATCCGGACGACATTGTTTAAGACCAGCAGCACATGGTGATGGGTATGCTAAACGTGTACCAGGTGTAACTTGACTTGATCAAGTGCAAAAGATATCGTCAACAACCGAGTGTAATTTACTCTCCGTATATATTACTTTCACTTCCTCCATACTCAGCACAAGTGCGGACATCAAACGTAACGATTCACTGCACGTCATACCGAAAACGGTCGATCAGAGGCGGCCAACGTCGCGTATTGTTGTTGAAGGTGAGGTATATTGAGGAACGTTATCGACCAACAATACCCTCCCAGAGAGATTAAACTATCTGGTGTTGCTATCTATGATGAGTGGAGTCGCTACCGCGTGAGGAGCAGTTCTCCTGGCCACCATTAGCTGTGCTGGCAATGCCCTCTCGCGGGTAGTTTGCATGTTAGCGATTATTCGATCCGCGGTCGAGTTCGACTGATGTCTCGAGCCAGTGGTTGACGTCGTGCTGTATGTGATGCGTGATGTCCGTATAGATGTTCCTATCTGTCAGATCGTGAACTTGAAGAGTTGTCTTGGTATTCATCGCAGGGTTCGCTGCGACTTCTGCCATCATATTATATTCCCGGATGTGGTGAGCCCAGCTGGCGACTGATACATCGTCAGCCAATGCTCGCGCTTGTCGGTACAGTGCGGCCAGGTGCGGCTTGCGAGGTGAGCGATACCCCCGGAATTGATTAATTACCATTACATTGTCCCCAATGACATGCAACGGTAGTAATTCGCTGTGTTTTGCCTGCCGTAGGCCTTGAATGAGACCATTATATCCAGCCGAATTGTTTGTAGTCGTCCCCACTCGAAGTGATATACTAGCCATCCAGACGATTGTAGCGGCATGTGTCTGTGGGTGAACACAGACAATGACGGAGCCTGAGCCTCCTGGTCCGGGGTTTCCCCGTGAACCACCATTGAAGAATAGCAAATACAGGTTCGTTGCAAAGGCTGGTTGAGCATTTAGCAGCAGTATTGGGGTCCCAGTGTGTTGTAAAAGGTCATCTGCCAAATCTGAGCGCATTCTCGCCAGCACTTGTTCAGATGTACCACCGCCAGGTTGGTAGGTGGAGTTCCTGAAGCATGAGAGCGCTCTACGTAGCCTGGATTGGGCTACCGCATGATGGGTCTCCACTGACAGTGTAGGATCCTCGATGCGTCTGAGCCGCTCCAACCATATTGTGTGAAAAGTAATCGACACTACAAAGCGCCATAGTTCGGTTGAAGCTTCATAGCAGGCTTCTCGAGCGTCCAGCGTCCTGTCGCACGCATTTAATGAGGCTTGAGCGAAAACCCACGCACGTTCTGGAGTACGGTAAAGTTCTAGTAAAAAATGTTTACCGGTAATTCAGCCTCAGGAAAACGACCAATTCGGTTCCAGACCTCGCAAACGCATCTCCAGCGTCTCTCGGCTACGGGGCATTCCCAGAAAATATGAACAACCGGGGCGTCGTCTGGTGAAGAGCATTCGGGGGCTGGACACGACAGGTTGTTTGCAGATCGTTTCCAGAGTAAAAAACGGTTACACTTGAGTCGGTACAGCGTTTGCGAGACATACGGAGATGTGGCACGGATACGGCGTATATCGCGCCAAAGCACCAGTTCGAGACTGTGTGTTACAAGTGCGTAGTTACGGCTTTGAGATCGTTGATCACGCTTGATGATGCCTGCCGTGTGTCGCAACCTCGACGCAATTTTCTTAAGTGCCTGAGCACGGGGTTTCCAGCGCCATGTGCCTGTCCATATTTGCGTGATCCGTGTCATAGTCGGGTGGGCTGCACAGTGTACCTGCGCGAAAAGCGCGCGAGAAGCCACCTGGTCACAGTCCACCATGGTATTTACCGGTGTAATTGATTGAGGTTTGTTCTTAGTACAGACCGTAAGGTTCTTGCCACTGTCGTTCAAGACACATCTAGTATGGTGGGGTGGTCTCTCCATGTACGATGTAAGTGTACCCGTTGGAACCGAAAGAACTAGTAGCTCAGGAAAATTGTACAACAATGCGTGGCAGAATCCCGCGAATTGGCGAGTCTTAGCGGTATGAATCGTTGTAGTGATCTCCGTTCTTGGTGTGAAGCGCACTTTTCCCGGACATATCCATGTCCATGTAAGCGCATCTCCGAGTGTATATTTTCCTGTCGCAAAACTTGCACTCTTGAGGTCGTATTGCACTCCATCTCGGGACAATAGCCAAGAAAGATTTTTGAGCGATGCATGCTGTAACCATCGCAGGTCTTCTCGACCGAGGTGAGCCACTTCTGTCGCTCTATCTGTGAAAGTGTGAAGGTTCAAGACTTTCGTGGCATCCACTACAACGCTTCCATCGCTGTGAAATGTGTCATGAAATTTGGGTAGAAAGCATTTTGCCCTCCCACTCACACGCTCAGCGATTCCGCCTCGAGCATGTTCAGCCACCGATACACCAACAACGGCCGCTCCAGTTTCCCACAATGTGGGCTTAATGCGGATTGATACTGTTCCAGACCAATTTGGGGTAATGTAAATGGATTGGGTCTTGCCTCCCCCCCATAAGGCCTCTTCAATAAGGCGATCAAGGTATCCGGATGAAGCTGCCCATTTCCCAACAGTTTTTGCAGCCATCGTGATCAGCTCAGTCGTAATACATGGTGCCGCAAGCCCCCCTGCGCGATCGGTAGTTCTGTTTGTTCAGCAGGGACTCATGGTCTGTTCCTTTTTCCGTCTTGGGTGCCCCAGATAAAATCTTTAATTAGCTTGAGCTGTCGGTATAGTGGAGACTTACAGCAATCCACGTCTTTCTTTATCAGGCCGAAACGATGAACATACCACTCGCCTTTCACTAGGTGTACCTCCATTGTCCGTACACATGGTGCTTGTAGAAATTCTAGATCCATGACTCAGCTTCGTCTGTCATGTTGCTGAATATCGAGTCTCTTCTATCTTGTATCCTACAACATTGTCTATCGCCAACCTTTGCAGAGTTCGTCTATGCACATGTCGTAGCGAGCAAAATCCAAGCACCCGGACATCTGCTTCTTCTTGGCCGCTTGCGCCTTTTGTGCTCACTCATCAGCTTCTCCTGCATGTCACGCATGACAATGCCATGTGTCTTGTACTCCATCGTGAACTTGCCCTTGCCCTGAGTGGATGACCGCAAATCCGTCGAGAAACCAAACATGTTTTGCAGGGGTACGTCGCACTTAATGACCGTGTGCATGTCATCTGCATCGCTGCTGTTAATGAGACCGCGACGACGGTTCACCTCGGCAATGGCCGTACCTTGGAACTCGCTAATTACTTCCACCTCCACCGCAATGACGGGCTCGACCCCAGATAACCCACACCACCGCTTCCCGTCACCTGCACTCGGCATGCATCGCATCCTGTGTCTCCTTCTGCTCCTCGTCATCCAAACACCATCCGCGTCTTCGCGACACAATCCGGTTCGTCCGGTTTGTCGCCGCCGCCGCCGGGTCATTCGTGCCTGCTACGATGCCTTGGGCCACCTGGAGCTTGCCCGCGTAGTAGACTTGCCATAGCCGCACGAAGACCACACTGTCAACCACGAGCAAAAGAGCCAAACGCGTTCGCCGTAAAGGTGGCAGCAGTATGGTCCCAGCCGCTGTACTCGGGAATACCCATCTTGACCATGACGTACAACTGGATCATGACGAAAAATCCAAACAATATGGCAGACACGTAGTTCCACAAATTCGTTACATTCTCGTGCTCTAGACACGAACGAGTGCCACGAGCTGACTGACCAGCAGCGAGAAGAAGAAAAGCACATTCGCGTTTTCGTCCACAACGTCTTCTGACCTGCACCCGTGTTTTCCCTTGACTTGTACTTCCCCGTCACGCGCGCCTGGACGGCCTCAAAACTGCCATTATCGAAATGAACGACAACGAAGACCATGCCTGCCTGCGCACGCTTCTTGCAGTTGTTGCCGACTGCGCGGTTGGCCAGCAGAATCAGCACCCAACGGCAGAACGCCACGGGCCAGAGAGTGTACACGGCAGGTGAAACACTCAACGGCAGAAAGGCACGGGCAAGAAAGAGTACAGGATATTCGTTACACGAACGTAGATCGGCGCGTCTCCCATGCAAGAATAGAAAATAGCGATCGCCACGTAGCACAGGGCAGGCACACCGTACCATACGAGTGCATCACCAAATCGTGAAATTAAGCTTGCGCTGGGAACGTAACATGCGGCTTCGGGTCCGGGTACGGGCAGGCACACGCGGTGGACGCTAGTCCGAGTCGACTTCGCTCTCATTTTGCATCAGCAGAATCTGCACAGCTCCCTTTGTCCTACGCTTCTTCCAGTCGATAGCAGTAGCCATTGTCTCAGAAAACAGCACCTTCGCACAATCAAAATACGGTCATTGGCATCTCCCTCGAAATCCGTGCTTAGGCACACCGGGTCCCAACCAGAAGTGTGGACCACATTACTCGTGAACGCATCATCAGTCTGAGTACCGCACCGTGATGACTGCCACCGATCGAGTCAAAGGCTCGGTGATAGAACACAGCATTTGACCAACAAAAGCTGCCGGGTCGAAACCATCACGACCAGCTGCACACAGCGTCGAAGACGATGGCGTTTTTGTGCCCGCACGGATCACCCATGATCGTCACACTGGGGCATGCTATCAAAGTACTGAATAGTCTGCACGAAAGCCACTTGGGTCCGCAAAATATCGTTTCTGTACTGGCGTCCTCCACCGTCGATGGCCTCGCCTTCCAAGAAGACCAACGACAGCACCGCAAGCAAAAACTTCGGACGCGGCTTCATGTCGTTGTCCAAACTTAGCACATACGTGCCGTCAGCACCTTTGTTGAGTAAACGATTGTTCATGTAGCCTGCCTTCGAGTGGTGCGTCTCGAGTTCATTCATTCATTCAAGTCACACGCGGATAGCCCCGATCACAGAATTCGAAGTCATCCGAAAGCGAGACGACAGCACAACCACGACATTGCACACTCTTGCCACCCTCTTTGCGAAGTCCACAGACAGAGCTGTGCTGCCGACGCCTCGTCTTCAAGCTTTGGTCGTCTTGATCAGGCCCACCACACGCTCGTGCACGAGTCACGCAAGATTGCCGCGCAAGTCACCACATATCTCAATCACATTGCTGTTCAGCGTCACCTTCAAGTGGTCGATCGCGTCCCACGCAGACCCAGTGTTGCCGTCATTCAGCACAAACACGTGGACGAGCTCGGGTGCATACTGCAGCGAAAGACAGATCTTCACTGTCTGCATCAAACCCGCGACCGGTTCCACGTAGTGATACAAAAAGATGCCGACCGTCGGCCGCTGTTCCTTGAGAATAGGCGGCTTGAAGTCGTTCGTGCACCGCGCACCACTACGAGTCGGACGCCACATACTGAAGTCGGACAGCAGTCCCAAAAACAAAGTGAGACACTCGCTGAATACCATCACGGTGTACATGACCCACGACATAAACGGCACGTTCCGGATACAGTATCCATAGCCCGAGTCTGCGTCAAAATTACCCTTCGAGCTGAAACGCCCGTCCGTCTCACTAGCTGACAACGTTCGCGTCGCACGGTAGCGTCGGCCGCGCCTGGTCACAAAAGTACTGCTGCAGGTACATCGTCGTCAAGTAGTGCAGCCAAACAACACCCGTAGCCGCCGTGCCAAAGTACAACGCGCAAAACAGCTCACTGCCCAACTTCTTGTACTTGCACACGTCTGGAGTCTCAACAGGCTCCGCCGCTCGGTTCGCAATCGAGTACGTCGACGTGACGACCGAGCGAAATGACGGCTCGTGGTAGTTGCGGACCCCTGCAATCGAGTCGCAGTATTCCCCATCTTGCCGTCCAGGTCGTGCCCGCCAGAGTCCATCAAGCGGCCACGGCGTCCACTGCCCTTCACGCTAGCACCGCCTTCTTCGCGTGCTTCGGGTCCACAAACGTCGTTGTGTTGAGGCACGTGCGACGTACCACTTGCTGCCACTACTCCGACGATTGGCTATTGCTGTGCATCGCACCTGAGAGTATCTTCTCCTGCGACATGCGCACGTCTGTGTTAGCACACGCGTCGCACGCGCTCCGTGAGCGTCTAATCCGACAGCGTCGCGCCCGTCGGCACCTCCAGCAGCTGCTCTTCCAGCGGTCCGAGTTGCGCGTGGGACAGTGGCCGACAGCACCAGAGGCCCGCGCATCGAGAGCCAGTGGAGGCCGCTACTGCCAACGACGGCGGCGGCCCACACGTCACACACGAACGTCTGCGCGCCCGCGTCCATCCCCCGAAGCGCCGCCGGGCCGTCGTGAGGGATCCACTGGTAGGCCGCGTCCGACCGAACAGCGCTCGAGGCCGTGCGCCGCGCAACGCCGTCGGCCGCCAATGAGCCGCCGCAAGTGGCCGAGAGGACGACGCACTGCATGCGGTGAACGGCTCTCGAGCAGACGGCAGTGGGGCGGGAGAGACCCCACGAGTAGCGCACGCAGAGCGCCCGCGCCGCCGTCTGCTGCGAAGGCGACCGACCGCTCGTTCGCGTCGGTCGGCCGCGTGAAAACGCGCGCGAACGAGTGCAGCGACACATCCCGTCTTGTGATTCGACGAAAAGAAGCACACAAACGCACCAATCACAACGCTTCGAAACAAAAGCGCGCTCTTCGTACCACTGTCCGCCGTCTTTGTTCATGTGGCTGTGTCGACTTTGCAAACATAAAACGAGTCGATCGTCTGCGATGCTCCTGAACAAACACTTGTGCGACTTCAAAGCTTTGGTCGATCGTTCCCAGTCAACGATCAAAGGGCTCAAACTGCACGTCGGTCCGTTAAGACACTGCGTCCTGTTCGGCTCTTTACTATCCGCAGGTGGCGCTCCGCCGCGTTCGCTTCAGCATTCCTTGACCTTTTCTCGTTCGGGTTCGTCTGCTTAAACACGGCCTCGGAGTTGTTGGAGCTGCTGCAATGCTGCGTACGCTGCTAGACAATAACGCAACTGTTCTTGTCGCTCCACAACAAGTCGACTCGAGCATCAATGCTCGTTCGTAGATCGCTGGACGGATGCTCGAAAGATGAAACGTCACACTCGAGCGCGAACAGCTTCGCAGCGGTCGGTTGAAGAACAACTTGCAGCATGCAAAACAGGTCATCAACGGCGTCACACGCGACTTCTATGCACACGCCGCTATGGACACTGCTTTGTGCCTCGCACGTATCTCCATGCATCAAATGCAGCTCAAACATCGCCACTGTCCTTTCAAACAGCCCTCAGCCACAGCAAACTCGTGTGGCAATCGCAGCCTGAACAATTGGCCAGCACGTATCACGTGGTCGTCCTCCTGTATGCTATCCAACGTCTGTTGTTTCTCCATGAGGATCGATGCTCTCGATCGTGTCACTGCCTTCATCCTAGTCACCTTCGTCGTCGTCGTCTACGTCTCCATATTCGTCGACGTTTGATCTTCCCGCAATCGCTGGCCACTTGTTTGTAGCACTGTCTGCGCCACCTCGTCGAACTTGCACTCGAAAGCGTCTGGTCGCATCCGAGCTGCCTCATTCGTCCTGCACCTTGCACCAACTTGTCCTTCGTGAGTTTGTGTGCAAGTGTCATACCAGCAGATGCATCTTGTAGTGGCTTCATGTCTGACCCTCGCGAGCGCGCTTCGTCAAAACTGGCATACGTCTCCTTCTTCAGCATCGGAGGCTTTTCCCTAAGCAACATTATCCTCCGAGCCTCCTCTACCATCATCCAGCAGCTGCACTCTATTCGGCCATCAAAGTACGTCGCGCCAGCAACTACAAAGCCAGGCTGCTTGAGAACACAATCCCTGCGCTTTGTCATACCCGCTAGAAGCGCACCTGTGTCGATCAGACGCTGTGCGTTCTTGTCCATGGCGAACAACACCATCTTCTGCCATGCTGTTGGTCCGCGGATCGGACCGGGAACAATCACCTCCTAGCAGTGCGTCACTTGCAGGATCTAGTCAACCGCTTTTCCGTTTGTGCTTCGTGGTGACGGCTCCTTCGGCTCTTGTTGCGCCACTGACAGCGGAAGCAAACGATGATTGTCGTTCGTGCCTGAGAATCCGATCGTATTGCCTCCTCCAGCAAGATTCCACGCTGTCCGGGGACAATTGTTGCGGGTACTGCTGTGTATAGGTTGGAAACACGCAGGTGTTCGGGTAAACGTTTATTGATTCCATGCAGTAGTGGTAGACTCGACACAACGTCTCGAACTGTCGACTGTCGGTAAGACGGATGTGCCGCACATTGCACAGAGTCATTCGGTCATTGCCATTCAAGAATTGCTCGACACTAGCAAAAAAAGAGCCATCGATCGTACTGATGTTCCTGCCCCGAGATGTCCAAGCTGATGAGCACATGGAGAGATTGTAGATGTTGCACAACGCGTTGAACACAGGCACTTACGTCACTTGACTGTACTGCGTCGCTCGCACATTGTACAAAGTCAGCTGGAAGTATCACACGTTATGCTTCCTACAACACATGCGACACAGAGTGTCACGTAACTTTGTTTGGAATACAATGCTCGACTCGAGTCTAGAAACGCTAACGGGAATGCTTCACTGCAGATGCGGGATCTCCGACTACAACTTCTGCGTCTACGGTCGTCTATCAGCACCTTGTGGTATGTAAATGACAGCGTGAGAACGTACATTGGAATCGACCACTAGCAGCCAGACTCGACTACTGCAGTCATCACGCCGTCTTCTTGATCAAGTGTTTGCTGACTCGCGCCACAGTGTGCGTTGACTGTCCTGCTATTAATGATCACTTTTATCGAGACGCGAGTGCTAGCCAACGTTAGCGACTCGTATAGTTCGCGATTGTTCACTTCATAATCCACATTGGACTGGCATTACCAGACTTCCGCGGCAAGCATGTTGGTCGGCGCTCTATTTGCCGACGGCCCATGAGATCGCCTGCTGCGAGTCGCAGACGTACTGTTTGGTGGCAGAACAGACGCTACGATCGTCTCTGTCGATTGGACTTTGTTGCTCGATAAAATAGCTCGAATGCTTCGCGCGCGATGGAAACTACGCCAACCAGTCAATGCTAGACGCTGCTTGCAGATGGTTTCTTGACGACATAGAGCGTGAAAGGGTCAGCAGCAGAGCAATATGCGAATCTCCGTGGGCTGTCCTCTTGTCCGTCTGACTTCCCTGGTACCATCAGCATAGATGGAGTCGTGAGGTCACAAAACTGGCGATGCAAGTCTCTCGAGCCTTCTAGCAATGGCACCACGTGGTTGCGAAACTCTTCAAACCCAGCACTCTATCACCCCACAGCGAAGCACACGCAACACACGCGACCACTTGCGTCGTCGGTCAGCACTCGCCATCCCTTCATCACAACAACACCAACAAGAGCAACTACTTTCCAAAAACGTCATGGTAAAAGTTCCGACTCCAACAAGGCCGCCACCCGGCACGCAATTCACGTGACCCTGCCAGCTCTTTGCACCTATGCCATTTCCACATTACGCGTGAGTCGTCTTCCAGCTCGATATTACCGCAAACTGTCGTACATTGGCTGTACCAAAGAAGCTCGTGTCAAAGCGCCAGTCGCGGATCCCGTACAACGGCAAAGAAAAGGACTGGCACGCGCTGGTCTCCCGTGCTCGGTCCGACACAAACACGAGGCGGTACTGTGAGACGTCGCAGCGTCCCCGACCGCCGTAAAAGCAGCCGCCCTGTCCTGGATAGCCACTGCACGGAGCAAACAAACAACAACGAGCGCTCAGGACCACGACGTTGCGAGCGCGTGGATGTGCACGACACGGAAGGGAAGAAACAGCGCCACGTACGTGCCGCTCTCGACGGTGAGCGTCACGTGGTGAATCTGAAAGAAGAAGAGCTCGTGGGGCGACACCCGCGACGGCAGTCGAGCGCCATTGTCGGCGGCGTCTTGGAGCTCGACGTTCGAGCTCATGTCAACTTAATGGGCGAATCCCTCCGCCACGCGCGACTCGTTGTCTTCAGTAAGTATCCCATCAACAGCACTCCAAGCGCAGAAAACGATGCCGCGGTTGTCGTACGAAGGTGTCGACGTCGAGCTCCCCTCGAACCTGACTGGCATTCAGTTCGACGTCACGGCGGGGACGCTTACGATCCACTGCTGCAACTTCACGGGGGACGTCGTGTTGCGCCAACGTACGTCCCGTCTGCGAGGGTCGTGTGCGTGTGTGTGGAACGAACACGGGCGGTACCGACCCGAGTCGCTTCTTTCTTTTGCGTCCATGTGTGGGTACGCGTATGTGACATGTGACAGGAGCCTCAAGTCGCGCACCGCTGCCGACAGGCGTTTGTTTGCAGCAGCGCACGAAACGACCGAACGACGCAAATGGTCCGAGCGATGACGATCGCGTGTCCCAAGCGGATGGTAAACGGCTGCGGCCGAGTTTCCTCAATGAAGCAGAGCAGACGGTACTGCTCGCGCAATTGAGTGGACCGTCGAAGGAGCGAACGGCAATGGCAGACGATGTGTCGGTGCTAACGGCGAGAGCTGACGGACCAGAAGAAGGACCGAAGGCAGTTGGGGGCACCACAGGTAGTGACGTGAAGACGACGGAGAAGACAGTGGGGAAGAAGCAGCAGAAGCGGACGCAAAGGCCACTGACGGACAGTGTGGACCTCATGTCGGCGCCACTTGATCTGAAGCAGTCGAGCGCACGGACAGCAGCACGTGATTCCAGCACCGATCGACTTCACACGCGCGCGTTGCAACCTGAACCTTCGCCGAGCCAATGCATCGAGGAACGGGTCAGAGACGTGTCAATGTCAAAGGCAGCAGCAGGTCTGATGATACCGTGTGTTTGTTTGTTTATCGGTTGTTGGGCGAAAGAGAACGCAATCGCGAGTGTCGTTGGTGTAGTCTAACAAGTTGGTCGTGACTGCGTGTAGCTGAGGACTCAGCGTGGGAGACGATCGAGTCGATAGGGAATGCCCCGACTGAGCGCTGGGGCCATACTGCTACCAAGATCTCAAACGACCGCGTGGTGGTCTACGGTGGTACCGATGACGAGGAGCGAACGCTTGGGGACTTGCACGTGTTTGATATGCAAACACACCGCTGGACAACTCCAATCAACTGCGAAACGATTCCGCGAACGTGGCACGATGCCGTGTACCTGCCTCTCAAGAATCTATTGCTTGTGTTTGGGGGCGAGCGCACGGAAAGCGGTGATGGTAAGCTTGCCGTTCTTTCCGACATTATGGTACTGGACACCGAGTGCTTCCTGTGGTTTCCACCGGCTATTCGTGGGCCACCTCCGTCGGCAAGAAGCGGTCACACTTGCACTGCTATTGGGAACGAGGTCGTGGTGTTTGGCGGTCGAACAGGACGGAATCGGCGAAGCACGGTGCATATTTTGGACACTGGTGGGCAAGACATGACGGCCAACGTGCGGCAAGCGACAAGTGTGCTGACGTCTTGCTGTGATCGCTGTTGATGTTGTTGCTGCTGTTACTGATGTAGACGACTGGAACTGGAAGACGGTACAAGCTGAAGGAAAAGCTCCCAGCGCTCGCACATACCACAGTGCTATCGCTGTCGGCGACAAGATCGTTTACTTTGGAGGCAACAGCTCTTCCAAAAGCTTTAACGAGGTGCACGTATTGCAAAGAAAAGTAGAAGAAGCACCGAGTGACCCAGTGTGGACCTGGTTTCAGCCCCCTGTGGTCGGTACGCCCCCACAAGAGCGCACAGGCCACTCGGCGACTCTTTTGGATGACGGCTGCATTTTTATCTTCGGCGGTTGGGATCCACAGCGGGACGATGCCAGTGCATTAACGAGTGTGTTCCACGATTCGTTCATCTTAGACACAAAGTTGTGGAAGTGGCAGTCTGGTGCTGTCTGTAAACCCGACGATGGGCATACTGATGCATTGCCACGAGGACGTGTTGGACATGGTGCAGCGATGCACAGCGATGGACGTATATACTTTTTTGGTGGCCAGGATAGCGCCGAACGCCGGCTCAAGGACATTTGCAGGGTTACGATGTCGCAAAGAGCTGGATGACCAGAGAAGTAATGATGGAGGTCTATTCAGCTGCGACTTTGAGCATTCTATGAGCCAGCGTTGTTATGCAGTACAGGGTACTGACTGCTGGCATCGACGGAGGAGGAATGGGCGAGAATACACGTATGCAACGACAATTGTGAATGTGCTTTTGTGCCTTTAGGTGGAGTTTTCTAGACGGACAAGAATGTGCATAGTAGCGGTGCAAGATCGATCTCGTGGACAGGAACAAGGGATATTAGACGAATATCAGCAGAGCTCTTCACTCCATGATGTCGTCAAGCTCGAGTGCTACGCTGTCTAGAAAGCTGCTCATGTTCTCGTCGTCCATCGAGACGCTGGAATCAGTCACCGAACTTGCTGCCGAGACATCAGGTGTAGCTCGATCGAGAGCAAGACCGTCTCGCTCAGTCTTTTCTCCCTTCGGCTGAAAAAGCGGGAGGTCGTCACTTTTGATAGCGCTAATGTCTTTTGTCGTAGATTTCCCCGCTGCCGTCTCGTTCACGGATGCGTCGTACTGCACTGGAGTTGAGAAGTGAGCAGCGACAGGAAACGGTGAAGTGGTAAGTGCCCCACCTCCTTCATGTCCGGTTGATGTGTGATGCAAGCCAAGGCTGCCGCCACCAATGCCAGTGCTGGCCGTCACAGGTGGAAACAGTGCGTTGAGTGGAAGCGGCGGGAACATCGATGCGATTGCTGTCGAGTCTGTTTTCGACATCGAAACAGGTTTGTCGGGCTCTTGCTGTCGACACGTTTGCTGACCTTCTGCATCCAACGCTGCACCGAACCCAGGATGCGTGTGATCGAAATGATCCGGTAAAGATGCGCCCGTGGTTGGAGTTCCCCGAGGCAAAAGGTGCTGGATAAAGTTCTGATGGTCTAGAGGCGAAATCGACTTGTGCGAGTGCTGGTCCAACAATGCCTCGCTCGAAGGGAGCGGTGATACCTTCTCACCTCCGTAAAGAACATTGCCGACGCCGTACAGGCTGCCCTCTTCGTGCGGCAATGACGACTGCAACAACGGATGCTGCTGCTGTTGGTGATGCAGCTGAAAGGGTGGACCTGAAGTCGATGGAGGTAGCAACGTCTGGTCGACCGCAGTCGAGGACGACTTGTTTGCTTGGTTCATCAGCCACTTGCGACGTGCTGCCGAGTTAAAGCGGTTCTTGACAGCATTCTCCGTTCGTCCAGGAAGGAGCTTCGCGATCTCGCTCCACTTGTTCCCGAGCTTCTGTTGCCAGCAGAAAACCATGTCGTCCTCCTCGGAAGTCCATTGACCCTTTCGGATGCGAGAGTCGAGGTGGTTGCACCATCGCTCGCGGCATTGCTTACCAATGCGTCCCGGCAAGTGCAGAGCGAGGTCGCACCAACGAATCTTGCCGATACCGTAGCGAGTGATGAGGCCCGCTAGAATACCGTCTTCTTCGGGTGTCCACGGTCCTTTGATCAGACCAGGTTTCAGCACCTTATTCCAGCGATGAAGGCACTGGACGTCGGTGCGCCCGTTCCCCAATGTCTCGGCGATCATCTTCCAGTTCTTCCCACCAAATCGTGCCACTGCAACGCGAAGACGTTCGTCTTCATCAGAAAGCCATTTCGTCGGCGTTTGGACTTCTTTGCTGCCCTTCCTTGGAAATGCCCTGCTCGATGGTGATACGCGCAACGGGCTTTCATGGCGCAGGTCTCGTTGGAGATACTTTCGTTCGTTCTCCGGTGCCAGAAGATGAGACTGAGTATCCTGCGACGGGCTCACCACCGATACATGGTGGACACTCTGGTCGTTTCGGACGAAGCTGGGACTGCAACTCAGTCCGAGCGAACTGTGCGAGGACAAAGTAGACGGTCGGTGGGACACTTCCACGAATTCTGGATGCCTTGGCGAATGTTGTTGATACTGAAGGTTTTGGTGCATTGAGCCACGAAGATCAGCCTCAAGCTCGTTACAAGACATCTTGAGCTCCATGTCAGCAGCATCTCCACTCATGCCATGATGATGACTGGATAGACTGCAGTTCCTGTCACTGTCGCTGCTGCTGCTGTAATCACTCAAGCTCGCGTCCAGATCCTCGTTACTTGACACCGATGCACCATGCAGCTTGAATCCACTAGGACCGAAGGCTTGGACGAGGAATTCTTCTCGTGGAGAGCATTCGCAAGTCGACGAGCTGAGCGACGGCTGGAAGAACATGGTACGGTCCAGACGTCTTGCAGCGAAGATGTCGTGATCGAGCTTGAGCCGAGGCTCAAACACGTCCTGAGGTTCCTGTGGTGCCAAGTCGGGTGCGAAAACGTGACCATTGCCGTCGCGCTCGTTGGCTTCGCTGTAGTTGGTGTCGGCATCGCCTACTTCGTTCGTGAGAGCCTCGCAGTGATTTTCGTCGTGATTGCTGTCGCGGTCATCGGAGTGAACGTTGCGATCGTGATTGACCACCTGAACGTGGTCAGAAGACGAATGTGTGTACTCGGACTCGAACGGGGACGACGGTATCAACTGGTACCCGTTGCTAGTTGGAGAGTCTGTAGAACGGTTCACGAGTGAAAAGCAGCATAAGTGAGTCATGGCTGTCCTCGTCCTCGAGGGTATACGCACAAAAGTATCAACACACGTACGCTCAGTAAGAGGCAGGAGCTCGGGACGCTGCAACGACTCATGATGAGATAGTGGAGGTGGCAGAACATCGTCGTGTCGAGACGGGGAACTTGGCTTTGCAAAACCAGTCGTACTGAAGTCGTCATCACTGGTGAGACTCTGATGGCGTTTACGATTTGGGCGTGGATGCACGTTGTCGGAAGTGTGAAGTAGCTCGTCAAGGTTGTCGAGACCCGCACAGGACAAGCTTCGTTTCGGAGAAGGTCTGGAAGGAAACGAACAAACAAACGAGAACGTCAGTCTCTGTGGGTGTTGATGGTGTCAAGCAAGCGACTACATGACTACAAGTGCTTGAGCATACCTGCTGAGTGTCGAGCGTGGATGCATGGCGGAAACAATGCCAGCGGTCGGAACTCGCAAAGTAAAGGTGTCCCGGGTGCACAGAAAGCGAAAGCTACTTGCAGGACACACCAAGACGAAGAATGCCACTCCTCATATCCTTGATTGGCACCCGTGCGCGTATCTCACTTTTACTCTAGCGAATAACGATAGGTAACTCTCGTACGCTCGTCATTTGCGAAGGCGCTTCGACGGCAGTTACCGCTGTTTTCCATCATCGCACTCTCGAAAGAAATAGTAAGAAAACACCAGCCACTATGTAAAAATAGCACGGAACAGAGGGTCAACCGCTCTTATCTACATGCGTCGCTCTTGTCAACAAAGTGTTTGTTATGCTTGACAAGAAAGAGACAGGGCTTATGACGTCGGAATCGCAGATGTGGGATGTGCTGTGCCTCTCGTCTGAGAGATCAGAGCGCGCGACGATGACGATGCTAATGGTATGTCATCGATCTGTGCGCGACTCTAGGACTCATCCTACAACACATCGACTATTTGCTTCGGCGACAGCATCCGCGAGACGCCCTCATCCGTGTGAACTTCAACATGGACATTTTGCAGCCCTAGAACACAGTCGTACCAACAACGGCTCTCACTCAACACACACGAATGACCTCCATCGCTTTCGGTTTACTGCTGTGACAATCGTTACGTTCTGCTTTTCATCTTGTACCAATCTTCGTGCTGCGGGATCGCCTGGCTGGCTGCTCGGACAACGTTGGTCTTGACAGAAGCGGGCATCAAACGAGACCATGCTGTGCAACCGCGCGACGATCTGCTTGCCACCGTCGTGCAGACTTCCTTCACCCCCTACTCACTGGGTATGCCGACAGATCGCAGCTTCTCTTCCAGCGTGCGAAACTCTTCGTCATTCACTGCATTCAGCTCTTCGTCAACGTACTCCTCGATGCCACGCACTTCTGGGATATAGTGCTTCAGCATATTCTCCACACCATCCTTGAGTGTGACCGACGAGCTCGGGCAGCCTGCGCACGAGCCCGCCAGTTGGACCTTTACCATGCCTGTATGCTCGTCAAACCCCTTGTAGAAAATGTCGCCACCGTCGTCTTGCACAGAAGGCCGAATGCGCTGCTCCAGCAGCTCCTTGATCATGGCCACCACTTCGTCGTCTTCCGGCAGAATCGTCGTGTCCTGCAGCGTCACACCACCACAACAACACGAGGATGGCAAAGAGGAAAAGCACCAGCTATCAGATTTTCTACTCGATCACAGCTAGCAGCATCGCTCGTTCAAACTCGCGCCTCACCGTGACAACAGCCTCGTCCGACATGACGTCCTCACCAGACGCAAAGAAGTCCATGATCGTCGCAAAAATGTCAGCATTCAGAGCCTGTGACAAAGCACGAGCGTATCCGCCTTGTAAGTCTGGACGCGCCACAGCACATGGGCCTGCAAAGCCATCAATCACGTACGTCCCAGTCCTCCTCTTCTGCCTTGGTAATGGAAATGAAATCCTTCCCAAAGAACACGCGCGTCACGCCCTCAATCTGGAACAGTTTCTTGGCCAACGGCGAGCGGCGAACCTCATCCGACCGAGGCGTAAAGTCCTACCAACCCACGGCATCGACAGTCTGTTAGCAACTCAAGCAATCCCTTCGTCTCCCCCAGTAGAGTGACCGGCACGCTGCCACTGGCCGCCCCCCTCATCGTCCAGCACGCAGCACGCACCACACCCGTGGAAAAGCGGTCGTCCAGCACCGCCCGTCCAGGCAGAAACTTGACACTCGATGGGTTCGGCGTCGGCTCTGACTGGATAAACATCGACCGCAACGCGCCCGTGCGCGCCAAGAACGGGTTCCGGCGGGACGTGGATGCAGCGGTCACACGTCCCATGAGAGGAGTCGTCGACAGACACTGAGCGGCGGCCGGTGGGGACAGCGCAGCGCTGCGACGCGCCAGTGGGCGCAGGAGGTGGCGACTGCGTCGAAGCATGCGAAGAGCTCTTGTGGCGGGGCGGTCGGAAGTGCGTTATTTTGACCAATCAACGAGACGGCAGCCACTATTTCCACGGCCGGTGGGGAAACGGGTGTTGGGTTTTAACGAATCAAACGCGTTGTCAGTCACGACAGAGAAAATGCGAAAAAGCTTCTCGTCGAGCGAAGTGGGGCGGGTGTGTCCCGTAAATAAAGGGTCAGATGTAGCGAGTGCGTTGTGTGTGTCCCGTAAATAAAGGGTCACATGTAGCGAGCGCGTTGTGTGGTCCAATCCGGGGCACGAATGGCGAGAAACGAGTCGAAGTGTTGTCGTTCATTTGCACCGGCAGTGAGTTTTGCGCGAGGCGTTTTCATATGCAGATATGTGCGTTCACGCGCTCGGTTTTACACCGCAAAGGCAGTTGAACATACGGTGTTGCATTGCAGCTTCTACTTACGACGATCTCATCATTCTCAGCTGCTAACTACGCCGAACGCGGATGCTAAATGGTGAATCAACAGCAGTGCGATCGGCGTGAAAAGCACCGAACACCTCTCGCAGAACAGAAAGATTGTAGAGAAACAGCCACGTTCGACATGAACAACAACATGCAGAGCGCGACGGCACTTGGCCCTCCTGGCACTATTGTTGATGTCTGGTGCACTTCAGTCTGCGCCTAACAGGAAGATTACGAACGGACTTTGTACCTAAAGCGCTTGCGTAGTTCCTTTCGCAGAGTGCGTGCAGGGATCATGTCGTCGAGGGCACCAGAAAGGGGAGAAGGACATGTACATGTTGAAGTCCAAGTGCTACACTTGTCGTGCAAAAGACGCTACTTGATAGCCAGTTCATCGACATTGGGAAGCCCTTGTCATTGTCAAGCATGTAGACTTCGAGCGCGTCCGTCAGTGGCCACTGCTCAACTAACGCGTCCGAAAGCAGATTTTGCTTTTTGTGAGCCGAAGGGCAAAGCTATGAGTGAGGGTGCACAGGAAGGAAGCTGAGTCTTCTCGGCAGCTGCTTTTAGTCTATCTGCGTGTCTGTAAGTCACGCGCACGCACACACTCGGTGTTTACTCGAAAGCGACCAAGATCGAAGAGCGCATGCAAGCAAAGGTTCGACACTTTGGAGCACCGAAGGTCTCGCACCTCCGGCACTACGACATCAGCAATGGCAATGACACTACCACGCCAACTCAACGAGTAGCGATTGTATCGGCAGTAGTCAGAACGGAGAGGGAAAGCTGCTGACCGACAAGATGCCCGAGATAGAAGAACCGCAGGGAATAAACGACGTCTTATGAAGTGACGACATACACAGATCCGTCGCACACACGAATTTTTGATTCGTCGAGATTGTCATCATGTGCCCGTATGACTGATGGCGCTCTACCAGATCAGTGGCTCAACGTGTCGTTGCGCCACAGAGAGGGTGGAAGAGCAGAGACCGAGTGCGTTGGTCTATCGTACTCATAAGGGCATATAACACACAAGCAGCAAATACCATCGATACCCATTGTACTACATGACGATCAATAGCAAGAATGGTTGGGCAAAGTATCATTGGTCACATTGACTGAGGACAAACAAAAGACCAAGGCTGATAAGGCAACAACATCGGTACGCGTTACGCTTGGTTTATCCGTGGCATTTGACGACACGAAAAGAAAGGAGCTACTGGACCATCTTCGTTCGGCGTCAGAAGAAGTTTGGCACTTTCTCCCCCTCCACTGCCATATCAATGTCGTCGGTCGCACGTAGCTGTTGTTGTTGCTGCTGCAGATGCGAGATCAGCATGCTTCTCGTTTCTCTCATAATCGACTTCAACACATCGAGGCCCTTTGCAGCAGACCCTTTGCAGCAGAAAACCCACATCAACACTGTGGATTGTTCATCTCTTGACGCCCAATCGATCCTCTAGCCACTACTCAATCGTTCGCAAGGGGTACATGAGCCCTCGACACTATCCTTAGTTCTCTGGACTTGATTTTTCTACATCAAAGATCGACCTTTATGCTTGTTCCTCTATCGTAAAACCCATTCGCTACTGCAGTTGCAACTGTCTAACAAACTTTGACATGGTCGGTACACAGACTGTGTCTATAGGCACCAACTCACTCCATTTGCCCGCGCTCCTCTGTCGTAAATTTCACACAACATGCGCAACGCACTTTAGCCTAACTTTACGCAATCTCCTTCCCTCGCAAACGCACGTCTCTTGACATTCACCGGTGGTGTATCCCCGTACCTTTCTCTTGGCTATTGTCGATGGTGTACCCCCGTACCTTTTCTCGATACTTGTCGACGGTGTAACCCCGTACCTCGCATGACTTTTGCTACTTCACACGGTGCGCTATTATCCTGATTTAGTGCTCAGCCGCATTTAGGCTCTTTTACGTTATTGCACACAATCTTTATCGCAAAGCAGAGAGAAAGAGAGAAATCGCTCCCTCTCTGCTGACGATCTCTGAGCAGCTCGTCAGCTACTACCGTACCGCTGTCATGGACGACACGGCACAGCGCAGTCTGCTTCTATGGGTACGTTCACCGCATTCAAAGCTACTACGAGCTGTACAAAGATCTTCATTCGCACCGATCGCGTCCTCCCTCGCTCGTCCACTCCCCGTCCCTCAACGTTGACCGCCACATTAGTCGATTGGGGGCGGAATATATCACTATTAAGAAATCAAGCATTACACACCAGAGAAACAGACAAGAAACGCTATTACTAATGAGAGATGGACTCACTCTCTACTGTGTGTATCGTGATACAAATCCTATGACTACTCGTACGCACAGGTGCAAAGTTTTCACGAGAAGCTCGCGACGGACACGCAGATCTCGAGCCTCGAGGACCTCTGCGACGGCGTCTTCTTGTCAAAGATCATGCACCACATGTAGGCGACGTCTGTCTGCTTTGCTACAGCTCTTTGGCCCCACTCACTTGTGGTCACTCACCCTAATGTTACCTTTGTTCTCCTTCTCTCTACTATTGATGATTTTCTGGTGTGTGTGTGTGTGTGTCTTTGTATGTGGATGCAGTGACTCGGAGTACATGAACTTGGAGCAGATCAACGAACAGTCTGGCGGCAACTGGGCACTCAAGTTGAACAACCTCAAGACGGTACTGCGAGCTGTGGAGCTGTTTTACACGGACGAGCTGGGCCAGACCTGTCACGCAGACGAATTGGTGGACCCGCTCGTGATTGCAAAAGAAAACAATGTGCACGAGGTGTGCAAGCTCACGGAGTTGTTACTGGGCTGCGCCGTCCAGTGTCTGAACAAGTCCGAGTATATCCATCCCATTATGCAGATGGCTGCGTCTGAACAGGCTAGCTTGATGCACGCGATCGAAAAGCTCATGCACCGGTTTCAGCCCACGTCTCCTAGTATCGCGTCGAATCCAGGTCGTCGCGACTCACTGATCTACAGGGCGTCTTTTGACGAGGTAACGCCTCCATCTTCGTCAGTGTCAGTCTCTGCGTCAACTACAGAAAGCTCTGCTGAGGCACTAGCCGCACAACTTGCTCAAGCGCTTGAGCGGAGCTCCTCAATGGAGCTCCGATATTTGGATATGGAGCGCGAGAAGCGTCAATTGACGGAGCGTTTCGAACGCACGCTGACGGAGCATCGAGAGCTTGTCGACAAGTACACGGTCCTCGAAAGTGAACGTGATCAGTTGCGCGGTGAACGCCAGAATACGCTTGCTCGTGACAACAAAAAGATTCAACAAATCGTAGACAATGAGGTTCACGCGCTCCAGATGCAGCTAGAAGAGAAGGACCTGGAATTGAATCGGGTGAAGCGCGAGTCTGGGGAACGCCTGATGATGCTGGAGAATGAAGTCCGCCGTCAAGCTGACGAGCTCGACATTTCGCGCTCGAAACTTGGCTCGCTGAACAAACTTGAAGCTAGCATGATCAAGTACAAGAAGAAATTAGAAGAAATGAACTCGCTGCGTAGTCAGGTGCGTGAACTGGAGACTTTTAATGCGCAGTACTTGGACAAGGTGGTGGATTTGGAAAGCACCATCAAGACCATGCCTGGACTGAAAAACCTCGTCGAGAAGTACAAGAATCAGGTTGTGGAACTTGAGACGGCCAACGTCCAAGCCAGTTCCAACCTGAACGTGAAGGAACAGAAAATCAAGCGACTACAAGAAGAGCTTGACAGTGCGCTGGGTGGCAAGGAGTTTCTCGAGTCTCAAATGGAGGAGCTTCGCACACAGCTTGCAAGCATGCAGTATCGGGAAAGCAATGACGACTCAATGTCTGCAGGCGAGAGTAGCGCAACGCATGGAGGAGGTCTAAGTGCTGACATGCTGCTCGGGCGTGACTCTGTCATTGGCATGAGAGAGCGAGTCGCTCGTTTGGAGCGTGAAAACGCCGAGTTGAAGAGTGGCAACGTCGACGCAGGCCAGGCAGAGTTGGCCAACGAACTGGACATGGCATTGAAGACAAAGGAGTCGCTCCAGGTGTCTCTATTCCAGATGCAGAAACAAAATGACCAGCTGTCCGAAGACCTGCGAAACGCTCGGATCCAAAACGAGCAACTTCAGCAAATGCTGGCGCTGATGCAACAGACTCAGGTCCAACCCCAACAGCAACAGCAGCACCAACAGTGGCAGAGTGCACCAGATGGATCGGAGCCGATGCAGGTCTCGAACGATATGGCTGCTGGTGAAGGTCTAGCGATGACAGGAACTGCTGGCTTTGCGTCAGCTGCCACTCTGGAACCTGGCATTGCTATGGGACCAGGTGGAGCCCTGCAAGCACCTGTACCCGTTGCTGGTGCCGTCGTGGTGACCAGCAGCAACAATGCACTCTCATCAGCCCAGATTGCCGAATACCAGGATAAGCTGGGGAAACTGGTACGTCAACAAACGGGCTATCAAAAGTGGTTTTCTGATTTGCTGTACTGATGTGCTCGTCTGCTCTTGATGCACGTGTTGATGCAACAGGAAATCGAAGCGGAAGCAGTGGACTCGCTCCGCGCAACTGTGACTGAGTTGACGAAGCGTCTAAAGGAAAAAGAGTCTGTGATCAACGAGCTGTCGGAGCAGCGCGCGAAGCTGGAAAACTACACGAAGAAAACACTCCATGCTGTCCAGACAAAGTACATGGTCGCAGTGAGCTCACACCGCAACCAGGTCAACGAGAAGCAGGAGCGTGTCGATTTCTTGGAGAAAAAGATGAAGGACGTCCGTGCCTCGTACTCGCGCGAGCAAGCACTCATGATGTCGTCATTCTACGAGGTGAAGCCTGGCCGTTCTCATTGTGACCATTGCTGCTGTCTGACTGACCATGCTCCCATACTTTTACGCACAGATTGGAACTGAGATGCAGCGGCGTACGATGATGCCACAGGGCCCGGCTCCTGGTGCTCCGGGCACCGGATCGTGGCTTGCAAACAAGAGGACAGAAGAGCGTGCGAAAAGACGACAAGGAGCGTGAGCAGAGCGCGATCGATCTTCTGGAGTGCCATGACTGAGATGCTTTGGGGGTACGAAAGAAAAGAAGTTTGTGCATTTGTGGACGATAAAGGTATACTGAATGGGAATGAAGACAACGATTGTGTCATTACTTGGTGTGACATTATGTTGTACCAACAACGCACAACGGTTCTCAATTCGTATCAATCGACAACGTTGACGCCGAGATTCACGAGCGCTCGCGTAGCTTGCTGGCATATCCGGTCATTGGTAGACCGCAACAGCGACTGCAGAGCCTCCACTCCACCCAACTCCACGATCGCTTGCTTGTTCTCCGCTAGAAGTCACAAGGTCGTCCATTGTCATACTCGTCAGTCAGTGACGCAACACATAGCAACATGGCAACCAACAGTAGCGAATAAACGTACGGTTGACAGAAAGATTGCGCAGTGCACGTGCCACTTGCGACTGAAGCTCCATCGACTCCGAGTGTGCTCCATCAATGATAGACTTCAAGCCGCCTTTGCGTGCAATTTCCACCTCATTAGCGTCTGATGGTCATGCAGCAGACGACACGTGAGACGTTGCATCGAATACAGATGGACAGCTTCGCCACACGTTACCGTTGACGGCGAGATTGGCAAGTGCCGCAACGGCCTCGACAGCGACGCCTATTTGGCGGGAGCTTGCCAAGTCAATGAGCGGTTTGATGCCGCCCGCCTTGGCGATTCGCTCCTTGTTGTCCACTGCCAACACCATCACCACACCACCATTTTAGCAAAAACAACAGCCGCACGTCACCACCCATACGGTCACATATGACACGTCAATGACATGGTCAAGACGCACCGTTTACACCAAGATTTGCTAGCGCCTTTGCAGCTTGACGCTGTACGTGCTCGTTCGGGCTGCCCAAGAGCTCAATAAGCATCCCAATGCCTCCTTCAGTCGCCATTTTTGACTGGTTTTCTGCTACAGCCAGCAACAAAAAAGCAAACAAGAAGCAGCAGCAGCAGCAGTAGCCGCAGCAAAGACAGGTGAGCGACCTCATTGACAGAGCTCACCGTCCACCGCTGCCCATTTCAATGACGCAAAGAAGCAAGCAGCGCAACGAGAAAATGAACATATACAGAGTATGTACAATTCACAGAGAGGTTGGCCAGCGCGTGCGCCGCAAGGCGTTGCACCTCCGTGTCCGTCGACTTGGTCAGTGGCAGCAACAGCTGCAATCCGTCCAGCTCCACGATCTGTACCTGTCGATCAGCTACACATCCAACAACAAAAGAGAGAGAAATAGAGAGAAAGCGATGAGGAAACGACCGCGACAAAGAGAAAAGGAGAGGAAGACCCCCGAAGACGCCGCAACGCACGTTTCACGGCCTCATTGGCCAACTTCTCGGCCACTTCTCGCTGCAGCGACGTGTCAGCCGAGTGCGCATAAGCGATCAGCTGCTGCAGATTCGCGTGCAGCACTTCCGTTAGCATTTCGTCTGCAAGAAAACCACACAAAGCGCAACAACAAAAACACACACACAGAGACGACAGTTAGTCAGTCCGTCAGTCAGTGGTCGGCAGCGAGCGACAGGTCACACACCGTCCGTGTCATTGAACGCAGCAGTGCCAGAAGAATTCAGTGCGTTCTTTGCGCCTGCGTTGCCCATTGCGGACGGTCGTATGGGAAGCGGCACGAGGCGTCCCGCGGGTCGAGCGGATACTTGCGCTTCGAGCTCGTCGGAAGAAAAGTTGTGGATTTATTGTCATTATTCGGAAAAGATGTGCGCGTTTGCATGGCGAAATATCGCGAAAAGAGCGTCGACGAGGAGCTCGCACCGTAGGACAAGACGCGACATGTCGTACGAAAGTGAGACTTGTAGCAGGCGACGGCAATCGGCTTTGGTCACGACTTGGGTCTGCTGCTGAGTCTGGAAGTTACGTTGTCGCATCTTGACAACGATTGTGACTAGGACATCGTAGGTGTATGAGAGCTGAGGGACAATAGTTGTTGACTTTGTTTGCTCAGCGAAACTGCACCGAACCACTGTGCCTGGTCTTCTCTCACACGTGCTGCACGCTCAGCGACCTGCCTTCTCCGCTCACAGTGTGTCAGCCAGAGCAGAGCCATCGAGATGCTGTACGTCAACGCTTTTTCCTCGATCGTCTTCGTTCCGAACAAAAGCTGAAGATATATTACCAATACAACGACACAACGAAGCAGTGGTTCGTGTGCAAGCCTCATCCATCCTGTACACCTGAGTGGTCTATATGCTGTAGCAAGGAGCCACCAGTTTGCAGCCGTCCTTCCATCTCGCGCTCTCTACTTGGAGTACACGGGCACATACTCCACCACGCCCTGTTTGTTCACAATCGTCTTTTTGATGTTGCGTAGCTGTTTCTTGCTCATTGACTTGAGTCGATGCGTACGTGAAAGCTGCACCAGCAGTACCAAAACAACAACCACAATAGCAGCCACAATAACAGCAGCCGTGACAACCACAGCACAATGACGTGAGCACTGGACACCCGATCGAAAAAAACACCGCCGGCGGCTGTGTGTCGTCGAACGTACCACTTGCACGGACGCCGACTTGAGCTCGTTCTCCTTCCGACGCTTCTCCTTCTCCTCACGCGCCTGGCGCTTTGCCTCGCATTCTGCCTGTTGTCGGGCCTTGATATCCGTCTGCAGCTCTTTCAGTTCCTTGAGCTTCGCGCGCTTGAGCAGTTTCTCGTCCCACGTCGAGCTCAGCACCTTCGCGCTTTTCACCCCTTGCGACGAGAAGCGCGTCTTCTGCACTTTCTTCCACACGCGGCCGCTCACGGGGCGACCGCGAGGCGGTGCAGCCGTCGTCGGCGTCGTAGTCGTCTTGCTCAAAGTCGTCACCGTCATGGAACTCGATAATGGGTGGCACGGGCTTCAGATAACATTCGCGTCGGCATGGAGGTCACCCGAAGGTTGCGCGCAGGTGCCTCAACGGTCGCGCGAAGGTCGCTCGGGTGATGGGCGACCTGTATACCGTATTCGACTCGACCAAATGGTCGCGCCGCCTGGATGTTGCGAGATCTGCCAGATCGCCGAGGTGATGGCCGACCCCGCGCTTCAGAGTCGGTCCGTGAGGATCACCGGACGACTGGAACTGTACGACGCGCAGCAAAAGGTAGCGACACTTTCGTTCCAGAACGTGTCGATGACTGTGGAGACCCAGCGACTGTCGCTCGAGCACTTGCGGCTGCAACTCGGTGCCATGTACCAGTTCCTTGGCGAGACGTATACCAAGGTACGGGCTGTATACGTAAAGTGACTGTATCCATGTTGGATATGTGTGTGGCAGCAGCAAACGGTGTGCATTGAAGTTGACAAGTGGCGATACCGTGGCACGAACTATGATACGCACAGACTGAGCCAACAACGGAAGTGCGACTGGTGGCACGAGTCGCGCGGAATGTCGACAGCTTGGACATGGACCTCTTCCTTGCAGCACTGGCCATGCGACGACAGTTTTTGGCTGCGTACGCTTGATTCGAGATGCAAGATGCGACACGTGATACCGTTCTGCGTGGCTGCGACAAGTGGAGTCGGTGGAGGTGGCAGTGGGTCAGCTGCGGGAGCGCTTCCACTAACATGTATCGGGCGACGCGAGAGTTGTGGTTGAAGTCGCAGCAGTAGCAGTCGTCGCGGCAGTACTGCCCTCTCTACAGCAAGTCGTCGTCCGAGTCGCCTTTAGCTTCAAACGTGTCGTCGTCGAAGGTTTCGTAGATCGATCGACGAAAAGTCGTGGAACGTTCGTCTCCCGTTCGTGTCGTGTTCCCCGCAGCTGACGGCGGAGACGCACATGCAGCCATTGCTACGACTGCTGCTGCGGTTGCTTCGGCTGCGCCGCTGTCTCCTGCACTGCCGGTATCCCCCCCGCCAGCCATCGCGCGTGCACGTCCAGTTGCTGCTGTCGCTTCTGCCAGCTCGGGTGGGTCGTACGTGTGCAGCGCTTGCCGCCACTTGCGCACAAAGCCGTCAAACACCTTCTTGCCCACGCGCATGGTCTTGTCGGGGGTCATTGGGTGCTGCTTTCCTCGGCGGCGCTCGTGTCGCGGCACTTGGGCACAGTAGCGATCGTAGCCGATCGTGTTCTTGCCGTAGTCAATCTGCTTCTGGCGCTGCGCCAGTCGACGGGGATCGGTCTCCTTTTCGTCCGCCAGCGTCTTCACAGCTTTGCATTCGTTCCGTTTGCGGCCAAGTGCGTCGTTTGCCGACCGCATGCGCTTGGGACTATGTGAGTCGCGATGGCGATCACTTTGGTCGCCACTGGCGCTCCTCCAGTCTCTGCCCCTCATGGCCTCCGCGCTGCGCTTCATTGTGCCGAGTTGGTACACGAAAAGGAAGTATGGCAGGACACGGGTTGGACGAGGGCTCGGACTTGCATACGATTTGAAGGGTCGACACCGAATGAACGTGGAGGGGGACGAGGGGACGACCAAACAAACGGATGGTAGTCATCCGTTTCCTTGTACCGCGGCGGGTGGACCAATGCAGGTCGTCAGAAGCCTGAGATTGTGGTGTACCTGCTGCCTTGGAATCGCTAGGCACTGCTCCTGAAGGCCTGCGACCTCAAGGACTGGAGTACAGCACAACACCCTCACTTGCTGTCATCCGATGTCACTGTTTGACGGATGACTCGAGTGTACTTCCTACCGTCGAAAATGAACATGTGCACATCTTCCTCATGCTTTACCGCCAAAGCTTCAACCCACACCAGACCTGGCAAAGGCCACGATGTTGCGGATAGGCACACTGCCTCCCGCGTACGAAGCGTCACAAGCTTCGCGCATACTGCTAATCGACACACTACGAAGCAAACGCTACGACCAAATCGTTTCACAATCTCGTTTCGAGAGAAATGGCGATCCCATCAATCGTTGCGTCCCTCGGGATCGCCCACTGGGGATGTCTGTCTAGCTCTCGCTGGCCGTCACGTACCTCACTATGTAGCCATCGTTGCAAACTGTCATAGATGTGCAAACGAAATGGTCACCTCGGCTTCCGTGCGATATGCCACGTTGATACCCGGAGACGTGTGCCAGAACTGCGAGCGCACAGCTACGCATACTGCAATCAGGGCATCGTTACACGTCTCTCACATACGTGGCCTCGTAAACTTGGCCTGTCGTACTGTCCGTCCACTCACCTGCGCTTGCACTTGAAGTTCGCGACATGGAAAAGTGCGTGAAGCCTTTCGCATATTGTTGACGGTGAAGGGCAGGAGCAGGTTGTTGAGATTGGGCAGCCACGGCGCATCACCACACGTGGGTACGTCACGCTCGGAACAAACGTGTCATCGGATGACTGGCAAACCCGAGACAGACGGACACGCAGTAGCCGAAACGAATGGCACTGTCTTCCGCGAGCGTTGCAGTTCGGAGAAGCGGCGCAGACCATTGCGTGGTGCCCGCGCACCCACAACAACAACATCGCTCGAGGCAGACCCGAAGATTCGTACAGAGAACGACCGCAGCTGACCACATTGGCCCCTAATTGTCGGCGGCCATTTGCTCCGTTTCGGGCCACGCGGGTCGGACAGCAAATGTCGCACTGGATAGGCAGACGCCCCTCCCCCCCCCGCCGCCGCCGCTCCCCTCCCGTCGCATCCCAACAACTGGACGAGGGAGAAAGTCTCGACGGGATCGTTCTTCATTTCGATGCTTGAACGCGTCGCTTATTCTGTCACATCGCGCCACGTGATTGGTCGAATCGCGTCTGCGTTGCGGCTGTCGATTGGCTCCGAGCTCTCTCTTTGCGCGTCCAGACAGCAGCAGCCGAAGGCCGTTACATCCACCAAAGTCTCCGGTGGCCAGAGGGTTATCAGACACGTAGATAGACACCGGGAGACACCCAGACAGACGGGTGGGGGGAGACACCGACGCACGGGGGAGACAGCTTCGACACGTAGTAGAGCGAGCGAGCGACACTGGCAGATAGAGGGAGGCAGGGCCCAAGGGGCATGCTGCGCTTCTAGACCAGCGTCTTTGTTGTCTCGTCTCTAGCTCGCTCGTCTTGGCGATACGGCGACTGTCGATTGGGAGCCGTCGATATGACGGGCGAAAGCGGCGCGAACCGCACGTTTCGCTCGATCTTTGGACGACAAGAGCGACTGTTTGATGAGGTGCTGGATCTCGAGGTGGACGGCCGTGCGTCGATTGGCGCGGAGGACCCGAGCGCAGGAGCTTCGGTTGCGGTGTTTGATGGAGACAAAGGCACGAGTGGTGACAATGATGATGAAAACGAGGACACTGATGCGATGTGGCACGAGGAGCTACTGCTGGAGTGTGATGTAGCTGCAAAGAGCGGCGGTGGTCCATTGGGGCTGCAGTTAGCAGTACGTCGACGTTTTGCAACAGGCTACTGCTATCGCGCTCTTTGGTGTTGACATTTCTCGCTGGTGTTTTCCATGTGTGCCTGTAGCAGCAGCGGTCGATGGAAGCGTGGGCCGACGAAGACGACGAAGAGGACAATTGGAAAGATGCATTGCAAGATCGGGTTGACCAACTGGAACTAGCGTTCCTGCCACATGATGGTGAGGACGCTGTAGCTGCTGAAGATCGACACGGGTTGGACCAGCAATCGGTATGTCAGCTGCAAACACACGAGCTCCGTACCTGGCACACTGAAGGCAAAGTTGCGAATGGAGCAGCAGCGTCTACTCTCGTGGATGATGCACGCATGCGGTCAATCTCGATTGACTGTATAGCCCGCGACGTCCAGACTGTCGAACACTACCGCAAACGCTCAAGGTCTCTGAGCGACACGACTGATATGATGGAATCGCCTCATCATTCGCTGTCACGAAAGAACTCGTTCGGGGGCAGTGGTCGAAGCTGCATTAGCCGGAGCGGTAGTAGAGATATACGCGGGATTGAGGCACCTTTGCCGAGTGATGCTGCGCGGTCGATGTCACCCAGCGCCGCCGTATCGGTTTTGAGCGACACTGAAGCCATTCGCCGTTTTGTGCTTGACGATGTCAAATCCGTACGTCGCCTCTGCTGTTTTCGCTCCTTGATGTGTGTTCTAACTCTTATGATGCAGATGTCCATGGAGAGACTTGTGAGCGATGCCCAGCGATTGCATTTCCTAGAGGACTTTTACCAGAACCAGCGAAGACAAGGTCTTGCCTTACCCGCCGTAATCTCTACTGCAGCGTCTGCTCCGCCACCGGTCTCTCCGTCTCCAGCCGTGTCTACACTGTGATCGTGCACTGCGTTATGACATTGATCCACCTAACTTAGCTGTTGCATGCTCTATTTAACAACATTCCAAAGAATGTGATCCACCCGTCCGCATAAAAAGCCACCGCCACATCATCTATCTTGAGCCCATTCATCACTATTCCATTTCCATGAGCACGTCACTCTCGTTCTGCGAGGTGTCCATGCGCTAAATCGATTCTGTTGACAGTGCAGGCAAAACTCGGAGACAAGAGATCGTCGATCTCTGGTGAAGAATGTGGCACTCTGCAGAGATGCACAGAACAGAGTTGCACGAGGAAGTCGCAGGTTGTGGCTCTACTTCATGTGGTTGTTGCCTCGACGACGGCCAAACCTTCATTTTAGCTTAACGATCATGCAGACAGATTCACTTACCGTCAAAGTCCCTTTCCTCTGTCCACTCCTTGCTATCTCTATGAATGGGTACGTGCCGCAATACCTCCAGCATGAGCTCATATGACGCAAAAGTCGCACTGGCGGAGACAACGGACTTTAGCAGGCTCGGCACTGTGCCCTTATAGAGACCACGGACGCCTTCCCGCTGTAACACGTCAACAAAGCACCTCCAGCTGGAAGAATACATTGGAATAACACCGTATGCTGTTGAACGCGGTACGTGACGCATCTGCATGCGTTTCTTGACTGTATCCAACGGATACACGATCAGCTTTGACAGCAGTCCAGCCACGGCTCCGCTTCCAACGTACGATAAAGCTTTGGAAAACGGTGTCCACGCAGTGATAGCACCGCTCTCTTGTTTCCTGCGGTGTTTCAATGCCACTTCATTCAACGTCGAGTAGATACTGAAAGTCAGGCCCATGTACGGTGCAATTTGCAACGTCGTGGCCCCGAGACCGCTAAAGAACCCACGAGCACCTTGTGTCGTCCAAATATGCAGCACCAAGCTGCGCATCGTTGGAAACCGCTTGGGCATCCCTTGACTGGCAAACGCCGTGCGGAAGAGGTCCAGAGGGTACGTAAAAACAGCCGCAGTGACGCCAGCGGCGGCTCCATTCACAGCACTGACTTGGAACGGTGGAGCAGCTTTCGATGCACCGTCTTGACCTTGTTCCCAATAGCGTGTGAGTGTGCGGTAAGTGGCAAACTGTAGAGACGAGTAGCCCACCCACAGTCCCGTGGCCGCCAAATTTCCACGCCAGAACGTGCGCAAGCCCTCTTCAGCATATATACTTCGTACAGCTTGCAGCAGACCAACGTACTTGAGCTGCAAGTGCTGTCTAGTGACACTGGGCGTCGGCTGCACTTGGAAGCGGATCTTGAGGAGGTCAAAAGGCGCAGCGACGAGTCGCGTCACACCTGAGAGCCGGTACAGAAGCACAAGTGCATTTAAAGACGTGGGAAAAGAGGAGCGATAGGGCAGCAAATGGCAGGGAATGGCGTGGGACGCACGTACCTCCAGACACAGCACCAGCTACAGCAGCTTCGGTCGCAGTTATAGCGCTTCGCTGGTCTTGAGGTTCGCGGCCAGTGCCGTCTCTCGTCATCGTTGCGGTACGTATCTGCTGCAAATAGCGCACAACTGTGCGCTATTTGGTGAGACCCTTTTTTGATCGAAAATAAATATGTATCAATATACATCGGAGGTTATGGACAAAATGGTAGTACGTTTGAACGGCTTGTTTTAACGCTCTTAGAAGCTTTTTTCCAGCACTTTGGAACTTGCCAAGTAAAAATTCGGGCACTTTTTTGACGATAAACAAACCTTTAGACGCGGTCAAGATGTAGTCGTGTCGTGGAATCGACTCAGCGTGCTGCGTGAGGACGTCTGTTTGGGGAGAAGAAGTGCACTGTATCTCCAGTTAAGTGTAAACTGCTACCAACAGCCGCCTACCCGTTGTCCCATTTCGCATTGGACTATCATTTCGCGGTCTCGACCAGAGCCACGAGTTTCAACTCGGTCCATTTCCCCATCGCCGTCGATCGTGTGGAATCGAATCGCAGCGCAAGAAACGCTCGTTGAGGCTTCAGACAGAGCAAGTGGCCGCACAATTGTCGTTTGTAAACTGAAAGGTCTGTGCCGAAAAGTGCTGTAGCAGTCGCAACTTTCTGCTGCTTTAGTCGATCGTTTTTTTGGTATTTCGTCCTACAATCGTAACCTATCGACGCGCTGTTTTTACAAAGACACACCCACGCCCTTGAGCATATATTTCACCAATCAACGTACGCACTCGCACTTTCCACCAATCACAACCCGGTATGTCCTCAAACATGACCGCCACTCAAACTTTTTGCACAGAGCTCTTCGCCGTCTGCAGCTCCAGTCACCACCGACCTGCGCCTCTTTTCTCTCTCTCTCTCTCTGATGCGTTATCTGCAGCTATCCCGTGCGGCCGCTGGTCTGCGTCGGCCCAGTGCCTGTGCTGCGCGTCGTCTGCGCCCGACAGCGCCCGTGCTGTCGCACCGCTTGAGTACCGCCGTATCGGACCTGGACGTCCCGCCGTTTGTACCCGGATACCCCGTGCCAAGTGGATACATGACGAATCTGCGCAACATTGGCATTTCCGCGCACATTGACTCGGGAAAAACGACACTGACGGAGCGCATTCTCTTTTACACGGGCCGCATTAATGCGATCCACGACGTGCGCGGCAAAGACGGCGTTGGTGCCAAGATGGACTCGATGGAGCTCGAGCGTGAAAAGGGCATTACGATCCAATCAGCAGCCACGTACTGCTCGTGGAAAGAAGCCAACATTAACATTATTGACACGCCTGGACACGTCGATTTTACGATTGAAGTCGAGCGGGCGCTGCGTGTGCTCGACGGTGGCGTGCTCGTGCTCTGCGGCGTCTCGGGTGTACAGAGTCAGTCGCTGACGGTCGATAAGCAGATGAAGCGCTACGGTGTTCCGCGAATTGCGTTTATCAATAAACTCGATCGCATGGGAGCGAATCCGTGGAAAGTAATTAACGATCTCCGCAAGCAGCTGAAGCTGAATGCGTGGGCTTTGCAAGTGCCAATTGGTGCCGAGAATGATCTTGAGGGAGTGGTCGATCTGCTGAACATGAAAGCGCTGCGCAATAAGGGCGAGAGCGGTGAGGTCATTGAAGACTCGGACGACATTCCTGCTGACACCCGTGCTTTCGCCGAGGCTAAGCGTGTTGAACTGATTGAAGCACTTGCAGATGTTGACGATGACATTGCTGAGCTGTTTCTGATGGAAGAAGAGCCCAGTGTCGAGCAGCTAAAGGATGCTATCCGTCGGGCTACAATCGCACACAAGTTTGTGCCGGTCATGATGGGCTCGGCTTTTAAGAACCGTGGCGTGCAGCCCATGCTAGACGGTGTCGTGTCGTACTTACCAAGCCCGTCCGAAATCCAGAACTTTGCTTTGGACCAGTCAAACAACGAGGCCCGTGTGAGCGTGCCATGCTCCCCGGACGCACCTCTGCTGGCCCTAGCTTTTAAATTGGAGGAAGGCAAGTTCGGCCAGCTTACGTACATGCGCGTGTACTCGGGTACGCTGAAACGTGGTGGATTCATTTACAACATGAGCGACATGAAGCGCATCAAGGTGCCGCGTCTGGTAAAGATGCACTCGAATGAGATGGAAGAGGTTGAGGAAGTTGGTGCTGGTGAAGTTGTTGCGATGTTTGGTGTCGAGTGTGCTAGCATGGACACGTTTAGCGACACGAACCAGGGCAAGTTCACGCTGACGAGTCTACACGTGCCCGAGCCGGTAATGTCCCTGGCTGTCACGCCCAAGAACAAGCAGCAGATCGGCAACTTCTCCAAGGCACTCAACCGTTTTCAGAAAGAAGACCCGACGTTCCGCGCTTTCGTAGATGATGACAGCAAGGAGACAGTCATAAGCGGTATGGGCGAGCTTCACCTGCAGATCTACGTGGAGCGTATGAAGCGTGAATACAGCGTGGACGTGGAGACTGGCGCGCCGCAAGTAAACTACCGCGAGACGATTCGCCAGCGCAGCGAGTTCAACTATCTTCATAAGAAGCAAACTGGCGGTTCGGGTCAATACGCGCGTGTGGTAGGATACATTGAGCCACTTACGGACGAAGAGGTCGAAGAGCTTGGTAACGAGGGAAATAGCTCGGGCGTCGTCTTCGAAAACGCAATTATTGGCAACGCGATTCCACCCGAGTACATCGCAGCTTGCTCGAAGGGTGTAAAGGACGCAATCCAGAAAGGGTGGCTCATTGGTCACCCGGTGCAGCGCATGCGTGTGGTGGTCAATGACGGTCAGTCACACTCGGTAGATTCCAGCGAGCTTGCTTTCCGCACAGCTATGGTGCTAGCTATTCGCCAAGCGTTTATGAAGGCCAACCCGTGCATCCTCGAGCCCGTCATGGCGGTGGAGGTGGATGTACCTAGCGAGTTCCAAGGTACGGCCATTGCCGAGGTGAACCGTCGTCGCGGTCTCATTAACAGCAGCGATGCCGATGACATGCACACGGTCATTAAGTGCGACGTACCCCTGCAAAACATGTTTGGTTTCTCGACGGATTTGCGGTCATCCACTCAGGGCAAGGGCGAGTTCACGATGGAGTACAAGACACATGGCATTGTCATGCGTGACATGCAGGAGAAGCTGATGAGCGAGCACGAAAAGGCGCAAGCGGCCAAGAACAAGTAGATGTCCGGGTGCTTGGATTTTGCTCGCTACGACATGTGCATAGACGAACTCTGCAACGGTTGGCGATAGACAATGTTGTAGGATACCAGATAGAAGAGACTCGATATTCAGCAACATGACAAACGAAGCTGAGTCATGGATCTAGAATTTCTACAAGCACCATGTGTACGGACAATGGAGGTACACCTAGTGAAAGGCGAGTGGTATGTTCACCGACAAAGACGGCGGCCAGTGGTACGAAGAGCGCGCTTGTGTTTCGAAGCGTTGTGATTGGTGCGTTTGTGTGCTTCTTTTCGTCGAATCACAGGACGGGATGTGTCGCTGCGCTCGTTCGCGCGCGTTTTCACGCGGCCGACCGACGCGAACGATCGGTCGGTCGCCTTCGCAGCAGACGGCGGCGCGGGCGCTCTGCGGGCGCTCCTCGTGGGGTCTCTCGCGCCCCATTGCCGTCTGCTCGAGAGCCGTTTACCGCATGCAGTGCGTCGTCCTCTCGTCCACTTGCGGCGGCTCATTGGCGGCCGACGCGTCGCGCGGCGCACGGCCTCGAGCGCTGTCCGGTCGGACGCGGCCTACCAGTGGATCCCTCACGACGGCCCGGCGGCGCTTTGGGCTATGGACGCGGGAGCGTAGACGTTCGTGTGTGACGTGTGGGCCGCCGCCGTCGCTGGCAGTAGCGGCCTCCACTGGCTCTCAATGCGCGGGGCCTCTTGTGCTGTCGGCCACGCGCAACTCGGACCGCTGGAAGAGCAGCTGCTGTAGGTGCCGACGGGCGCGACGCGTGTGCGAGAAGTGCATTGCGACGGTGGCCAGTGGTATTGCGATTGCACGGAAGGCGGCGAAGCGACGCTGTCACGAGACGCGAATACGGATGTGCGCATGTCGCAGGAGAAGATACTGTCAGGTGCGATGAACAGCAAGAGCTGATCGTCGGAGCAGTGGCAGCAAGTGGTACGTCGCACGTGCCTCAGCACAACGGCGTTTGTGGACCCGAAGCACGCGAAGAAGGCGGTGCGAGCATGAAGGGCAGTGGCCGCCGTGTCCGCTTGATGGACTGTGGCGCGCACGGCCTGGACGGCAAGATGGGGAATACTGCGACTCGATTGCAGGGGTCCGCAACTACCACGAGCCGTCATTTCGGTCGGCCGCCACGTCGACGTACTCGATTGCGAATCGAGCGGCGGAGCCTGTTGAGACTCCAGACGTGTGCAGGTACAAGAAGTTGGGCAGTGACCTGTTTTGCGCGTTGTACTTTGGTACGGCGGCTACGGGTGTTGTTCGGCTGCACCACTTGACGACGACCTGCAGCAGTACTTTTGTGACCAGGCGCGGCCGACGCTACCGTGCGACACGCACGTTGCCAGCTAGTGAGACGGACGGGCGTTTCAGCTCGAAGGGTCCATTTTGACGCAGACTCGGGCTATGGATACTGTATCCGGAACGTGCCGTTTATGTCGTGGGCCATGTACACCATGATGGTTTTCAGCGAGTGTCTCACTTTGTTTTTGGGACTGCTGTCCGACTTCAGTATGTGGCGTCCGACTCGTGGTGGTGTGCGGTGCACGAACGACTTCAAGCCGCCCATTCTCAAGGAACAGCGGCCGACGGTCGGCATCTTTTTGTATCACTACGTGGAACCGGTCGCGGGTTTGATGCAGACAGTGAAGATCTGTCTTTCGCTGCAGTATGCACCCGAGCTCGTCCACGTGTTTGTGCTGAATGACGGCAACACTGGGTCTGCGTGGGACGCGAACGACCACTTGAAGGTGACGATGAACAGCAATGTGATTGAGATATGTGGTGACTTGCGCGGCAATCTTGCGCGACTCGTGCACGAGCGTGTGGTGGACCTGATCAAGACGACCAAAGCTTGAGGACGAGGCGTCGCCAGCGCAGCTCTGTCTGTGGACTTCGCAAAGAGGGTGGCAAGGGTGTGCAGCGTCGTGATTGTGCTGTCGTCTCGCTTTCGGATGACTTCGACTTCTGTGAGCGGGGCTATCCGCGTGTGACTTGAATGAATGAATGAAGCCTGAGACGCACCACTCGAAGGCAGGCAACATGAGCAATTGTTTGCTCAACGGAGGTGCTGACGGTACGTATGTGCTAAGTCTGGACAACGACATGAAGCCGCATCCGAAGTTTTTGCTTGAGGTGCTGTCGTTGGTCTTCTCGCAAGGCGAGGCTTTTGACGGTGGAGAACGTCAGTACAGACACGAAATCTCGTGGACTCACGTGCCTCTCGTGCAGGCTCCTCAGCACTTTGAGGGCATGCCTCAGTTGGCGATCATGGGTGACCGATGCGAGCACAAGAATGCCATCGTCTTTGACGCTGTGTGCAGCTGGTCGTTATGGTTTCGACCCGGCAGCTTTTGTTGGTACAAATGCTGTGTTCCGTCGCCGAGCCTTTGACTCGATCGGTGGCAGTCAGCACGGTGCGGTGCCTAGATTGACGATGCGTTCACGAGTAATGTGGTCCACACTTCTGGTTGGGACTCGGTGTACTTCAGCACGGATTTCGAGAGCGATGCCAAGGACAGTAGTCGATTGTGCGAAGGTGCTGTTCCTGAAACAAGGGCTACTGGTATTAACTGGAAGAAGCGTTGGACAAAGGGAGCTGTGCAGATTCTGCTGATGCAAAATGAGAGCGAAGTTGGCCCGGACTGGCGTCCGCCGCGCGTGCCTGTCCCGGACCCGAAGCCATCTCTTGCGTTCCCGCGCAATATGTTTTTCTACGACTCGGTGTTGTGGACGAAGTGTTCGGTTCCTGCCCTGTGCTACGTGGCGATCGCCGTCTACTACTTGTGCATAGGAGACGCGCCGATCTACGCTCGTGGAACGAATATCCTGTACTCTTTCTTGCCCGTGCCGTTCTGCCGTTGGGTGCTGAACCTGCTGGCCAACCGCGCAGTCGACAACAACCACAAGAAGCGTGCGCAGGTAGGCATGGTCTTTGTTTTCGTTCATCACGATGATGGCAGTTTTGAGGCCATTCAGGCGCGCGTGACGGGGAAGCACAAGTCAAGGGAAAACACGGGTGCAGGTTGGAAGACGTCGTGGACGAAAACGCGAACGTGCTTTTCTTCTTCACGCTGCTGGTCAGTCAGCTCGTGGCACTCGTTCGTGTCTAGAGCACGAGAACGCGACGAATTTGTGGAACTACGTGTCTGCCATGTTGTTTGGCTTTTTCGTCATGCGCCAGTTGTACCTCATGGTCAAGATGAGTATTCCCGAGTACAGCGGCTGGGACCATACTGCTGCCACCTTACGGCGAACGCGTTTGGCTCTTTTGCTCGTGGTTGACAGTGTGGTCTTCGTGCAGCTATGGCAAGTCTACTACGCGGGCAATCTCCAGGTGGACCCAAGGCATCGTAGCAGGCACGAATGACCCGGCGGCGGCGACAACCGGACGAACCGGATTGTGTCGCGAAGACGCGGATGGTGTTTGGCCGACGAGGAGCAGAAGGAGACACAGGATGCGATGCGTGCCGAGTGCAGGTGACGAGAAGCGGTGGTGTGGGTCTATCTGGCGAGCCGGAGACGCGCTCGCAAGTGCGCGCTGTCGTCGACGCTTTCCCTCTAGTACTTGAGGTGTCATTACAGTTTGCCGTCAATGCCGAGTTGTCGATCCTTGCGATGTGGGCACTGCTGTCCATCCTCTCGTGCACTTGTGTCTTGTCCGCGCGTGGTAATGGCGTCAAATGGTATGTGTACTGGAGCATACGCGACGTTGGCCACCTCTGCTCGCCCGTCTTTGGTCGGACGGACGTGCAGTGAATCGTTACGTGTTGTGGTCGCACTTGTACTGAGGATGTAGGAAGTGAAAGTAATATATACGGAGAGTAAATTACAGTCGGTTGTTAACCATACCTTTTGCACTTGATCAAGTCAAGTTACACCTGGTACACGTTTAGCATACCCATCACCACCATGTGCTGCTGGTCTTAAACAATGTCGTCCGGATATCGCTGTCCCACTCATCATCTCCTCCTGATAGTCCGACATGACGACCCTCTTCTCTCGTACCATATGTTAACTGGTCACATCTCCGTCCTACCTGTCAGCTTATTAGCCAATCAGGTGAGATCGCGACGTACCTGTAACAGGTCTTGCAGTTGAACACTGGAACTTCGATGACCTGTCAGAAAGCATATCTTCTAGCACGTGCCTTGCTATGACGTCTTGCAAGCAGTACGAATACCGCAGCACAGCGCTCATTTGTTTTTTGTTAAGCTTGCTTGTTTTGTGTTCGAGCATGGGCTACTACACTGTACGGCAATCGACGAGCACGGAAGGAGCTACGTTTGCTCAAGAGTAGGCGAACGTTAACAAGCCAACCGCAATCGTAATCATACACTTGTTTTGTTACTCACTTCAATAAAAACTACGTTTTCGCTTGTCTTTCATGGGGTTATCGACACCTATACGCTCTAGAACGTAGGCGCCAAGCGCATCAACAGCACGCGCAGGAAGCAATCGCAATGACGACGAAGAGTGATGAGTCTTCATCAGTCACTGCGAATGCACACCACGCTCAACTTCGTCCAAAAACACGCCACGTTCCACATCTTCAACGGGGGCAATGAGCCCCGAAGAATTGCAGATCGCAAACGCGTTCTCGAACAAAGTCTGCTGCCACGCCTTGACCGCACCACGTTCCGGGGCCTTCGGTGAGCGATGAGCTCCGGTAGACGCAACAGAGAGCAATGGGTCTCTGGAGCGCCAATCCCGGAAGCTTGTTGCCCTCTCCTGGCAACGTGTGTGGTTTAACACCCGTTGCCCAGCGCGGCGCGACTTCCTGCAATCTCCACGCGCGCCAGTTCTTTTGCTGACAGCATCCTTGAAGCACCAAGTCCGGCAGTCGCAGCAAGAGCCGCACGGAAAGCAGCAGTGGCTTCCACACGCGCGCGGGTGGACGCCGTGCTCGCAGTCGCACCAACACGCGCTCGAGCAGTAGCCGTTGGACGAACACGCGCGCGAGAACCAGCAGTAGGTTTAGCGCCCATCCTGATAGCAACGTCCTTGACACTTGCAAGCACACGAGCGCGTTCATCTTGGCCGGTTGTGGGTTTCTTGCGAGGTGTCGTGCTTGTCTTGGAGGGCGCTGCGACTGTCTTCTCACGCTGCTTCTGCTGCATTCGTGCCTTGTTCTCGCCCGTCGCCTCCGCACTGCTGTCTTGAGAGTCCTTCTCCTGTAGCACCAGCTGCAACTCGGACTCGCGCTGGACTTTGAGCTGATCTTGAGCGGTCTCCTCAAGCTGCTGCTCCGGTCTTGCACTTGTGGCTTCGGCCATTTCGGCGCGCTGTCGGAGCGCCAGTACTTCGATCTCCATCTTGAGCCGCGACTCGATGGCTGCGTCGCGCTCTTTATTTGCTGCCCGTACCAGGTCTGCTTGCACCGCACTGAGGTGCGTCAGCGCAACGGCTTGCTTCTGTAGCACGTCGTTCGCGTGCACGAGCTTACTGTACGCATGCAAAATTGCATCGTACGTGCTCTGCGTAAAAGTGGCCGTGGTGTCCATTGCGAATTGGAGAGCAGAAGTGAAAATGACAAAGAAGCACGAGGGGCGGCGGCGGAGTGGTCATGGAAAGATTCATTCATTAACGTTAAGCGAAGTGGATATGCAAAATGGACTACTTCAACTGTAAGAGAAGTGGCCTGAGACGCGGCGGTGAGCCAAGTTGAAAATGGAGTAAAATGGCGCAAAAAACGGGCGCACGAGTGGCGGCAAGTGCGACAAGGCATTATTTGATGTAAATGAGGCGATCAAGTTGACGAGACCAAAAGATGTGATGGGTTGATCCGTGTAAGTAGGTTTTATTCGTGTTAGAGGTAAGAGAGTGGCGATGTGTATTGATTAGAGGTGGTTCTGGACGGCTCGGCAGACAGATTCATGCTGCCAGCTATCGTTCCGCTGTATATTTCACTGCGTCGAAAGGCAGTTGAGCATGTTTCGCTACTTTACAAAGCACATGCTTGACATGATGCTAGGGCTACGTGACTGCCTTCGCACTAACGCTCTCCTCGGCGTTATGCCTCAAGGAGGCGTCGTCGCAATGCTGCTACCGCTATCGTCTATAAGTTCGAGCTCACTGGAAAACTCTGTCCCATCTACGAGGTGGCTGACACCAGTCTGCGACTACGAGTTTTTTGCCGCCAAAGTTGCCATGTAGACGCTTGAAGCAGTGCCGCTGGTGTTTGCGAAGACATACATGTCTCGAGGCTTTCTGTTTACTGGCATGGCAGCATCGCCTGCGTCATACCTCATCGGACTTACTGGAAAGTAATTGCCGGCAGCCCGTTGCTTATGAACCACCAGTGTGTGCTCGAGGAGGACCCGAGCAGGACGAACAGTGGCGGTGTCAGTCTTTGCGCGGTAATATCAGGCACTTCGAAATAGTTTTTCGAATCAGGTGGCTGTATTGTTGGTGCAGGTGTTGTTTGAGTTCGCTGTAATGTTGTTATTGTGATTGTTGTTGTTGTTGTTGGTGGTGGTGGTGGAGGTGGTAAGGTGGTGGTGCTAATGGTGTTGGTTATAATGTTGTTGTTGTTGTTGTTGCGGATGTTGGTGGTGGTAAGGTGTTGGTGCTAATGGTGTCGGTTTAACTGTTAGTGGTGGTGGTGATGGTGGTGTAAATGGTATTGTTGTTGGTGTTGCTGTTGCTGTCGTTGCAGCCGTCATCTAAAAGCGTCGCCGAGTGACCTGTGCACTCTTGTAGAGGCGTACCAATCATAGGGGGCTGAAAGCACGTCCACACTAAATCGCTTGACGTCTCTTCTACTTTTCTTTGCAACACGTGCACCTCGTTAAAGCTTTTGAAAAAGCTATTGCCTCCAAGGTAAACGATGTTGTCGCCGACAGCGATAACGCTACGGCTGTGCGAGCGCTAGGAGCTTTTCCTTCAGTTTGTACCGTCTCATAGCTACAGTCGTCTACAAAAGCAACGACAACAACAACAACAAAAGCGATCGCAGCAGAAACGTCGGCTCACCTGTCGCTTTTTGCACGTTGGCCGTCACTTCTTGCTCATCAGTGTCCATAATGTGCACCGTGCTCCGCCGATTCGTCCTTTTGTGCCACCAAACATTATGGCTGCGACTCACAGCAGGCGATCTCATGGGCCGCTGGCAAATAGAGCGCCGACCAACATGCTTGCCGTGGAAGGCTGGTCGTGCCAGTCCAATGTCGATTATGTAGTGAACAATCGCGAACTTTACGAGTCGCCAACGTTGGCTAGCACTTGCGTCTCGATCAAAGTGATCATAATAGCAGGACAGTCAACGCACACTGTTGCGCGAGTCAGCAAACACTTGATCAAGAAGACGGCGTGATGACTGCAGTAGTCGAGTCTGGCTGCTAGTGGTCGATTCCAATGTACGTTCTCACGCTGTCATTTACATACCACAAGGTGCTGATAGAAGACCGTAGACGCAGAAGTTGTAGTCGGAGATCCCGCATCTGCAGTGAAGCATTCCCGTTGGCGTTTCTAGACTCGAGTCGAGCATTGTATTCCAAACAAAGTTACGTGACACTCTGTGTTGCATGTGTTGTAGGAAGCATAACGTGTGATACTTCCAGCTGACTTTGTACAATGTGCGAGCGACGTAGTACAGTCAAGTGAAGTAAGTGCCTGTGTTCAACGCGTTGTGCAACATCTACAATCTCTCCATGTGCTCATCAGCTTGGGCATCTCGGGGCAGGAACATCAGTACGATCGATGGCTCTTTTTTGCTAGTGTCGAGCAAGGATTGAATGGCAATGACCGAATGGCTCTGTGCAATGTGCGGCACATCCGTCTTACCGACAGTCGACAGTCCGAGACGTTATGTCGAGTCTAGCACTCTGCATGGAGGCGATAACCACTCACCTGAGCACCTCTTTTGCGAGGGCGGTGTACATACATACGAGAGGCCGCGGAACTATATAGTGATATCAGTAGTCTGAGCATGTCACTCCTCCTTTGCACGATCAAAGTAGGGTACGTGGAACGTCATTGTGCTCGAGATTCAGTTCGTGGAGACGTGTAAGGGATCCACCAGCTTTCTCACACGTCCTTTACCCTCACCCTTTCTGACGGCTTCGCAGCATAAGGAAAGCTGAGGGATGTGCGATGTTCGGACGTTGACCGACTCTGACTACGCAGAAATTGCGTGTCGAGATAGGGATCGATAGTATACTGTAAATGAGAACCAAAATCGTTGCGAATCAACGGTAGCAAGCAACAACATGGAGCGCTTTTGGATGGAGAGATAGTTCCATCACGAGCTTAGCGTCTATTAGCTCGCATTATAAGGCGGCGGTAAAATTATCCATGACATGCAATTTCTACATCTAGTTGACGCAAACGCAATACATGATCAGTATATGCATTAGCCCTTTCTCGTTCATCATATTCATATTGCATCAAGACACTCCTTCACGTGGTCAGTGCCTTGAACAAAACCTTGAGCTCGAATGTACCTCATATCTGTACGTTCCGTTCTACAGTAATAGTTGCTTAGCTCAAAGTGTCTAGCAACCGTGCTGCTACCACGTCTTTGTCAAGCTGAAAGTCTGGTCGTTGCAATACTTGTGTCGCAAGCCACTGGGAATTGCTTAGCCGCTGCAATGTAAGTGCCATCGGAAATGTGCTGTAACGCAGGAATCTGGTCAGTCGCGCTCCCGCGTGTTCCCGCAGCGAGTACAACAGCTCCTTTAAGCGGCCACATTCGCGAGGTATGATACAGACGTGCGGCCATGCGACGGCTCTGTGCATAACTGTTCACTATTGTCATTGCATCTCTTCGGCATTGTCTTCGTCTTGTGCCTGCTACGATCTAAACGAGCAAACAACTTGCTGACAATCGCGCTCACATACACGTTGGTGCAATGCTAACGCTGCCTCCTCAAGTGCTGTCGTCATCTACCAACGTGGCCGCCACTACAAAACAATCCATTGTATCTGGTCGAATTGTTCTTCAATGCTTGCACCTAATCGCAGCTCACTGCTGATATAGCAGTAGCAAAAAAAAGTAACAGCACACACGCACCCACACTCCGTGTGCTTGATCTCCCTATCAACAACAGCTACTTCCGACTCGAACCCCCCCCCCCCTCGACTAGCAGACATCGTCACCATCAGCATCCCGGTCGTCCTCGTTTCGGCACTTACATTCGCTCAACATTCTGTCCGTCGTACCCACTTCCCGCCGCCCACTCGTCGTCGTCGTCGCCCCCCCCCGCGATAGTGACCCACCAAACTCGCACCACCCATCTTCCCCCTCGCCACCCGCCGCCATGGCCGCCTCCGAGCCGACGGCGCTGCTGTCCGAAGCCGACGGCGCCTTCTACGCGTTCGCCGGCGTCATGCTCGCGCTCTACATCGTCCCCGCGTCGCTCTTCACGCTCCACCGCGTCGTGCGCACGCCCACGTCGCGCCTGCGCTCGCGCTCGTTCGCACTGCACCTCGCGCTATTGGCCGTCGCCTACGGACTGCTCTGGCGCTGCCTTGTCGCGCTCCAGCACGTCGACACGTCGGGCGTCTTCGACCCGTACGACATATTGGGCGTCAGTGAGTCGTCGTCGTCGCGCGAGATCAAAAAGGCCTTTCGCACGCTCGGGCGGCAGCTGCACCCGGACAAGAACCTGCACGACCCGCGCGCGACGAGTGCGTTTGCGCGCGTGACAAAGGCCTACGAAGCGCTCACGGACCCCAAGAGCATGGCGAATTACCAGAAGTACGGCCACCCGGACGGGCGCCAAGCGCTGCTGTTTGACGTGGCCTTCGCCTCGGCCTTTCGTGGCAGCGACAGCAGCAGCTCGGGATCGATCGTGGTCGTGCTGTACTTTGGGGCCGTGTTTGCTGGCCTCGCGTACCTCGTGTACTGGCTGCAGCAACGGGCTGGCCGTCGCGATCGCACGACTGTCTCGAAGGCCACGCGCGAGCGCTTTGTCGTAGCGCTGACTGCGAAAATGAGCGTCCACGACGTCGTCGAGCTGCTCTTGTCGTGTGACGAGATGGTGGGCGCTGCGGCTGGGATCGTGGACGAGGCGCGGAACGACGCGCAGCTGCGGACCAAGACGCACGAGAAACTGGCCAAGAAAATGGATGCGGCCAAGGCGCTACCGGGTGATGTGATCAGTCGCATACGCAAGCATCCGGACCCGGTTGCTCGCGAAAACATGCTGGCGCTGTACCAGTTTCTACGTCGAGGGAAATTGCGTGGGGTATCACGTCCAGCGTGGGTGGACCAGCGGTTCCAGAAGGTGTTGCTCGAGCTACCGTTCTTGCTGGACATTTTTGCCACAATTGCTGCTGAGCAGCTCGTGATACGCGCGTACCCGGCAATTCCACTGCTGCGGGCACTGTCCCTGCTGTCGAGTATTGCTCAGGGAAGCTTTGTACCGGACGACGTGGCGTTGCGTGACCAGAACGAGCGAGTGGCGGCTATCGATGGACAGTTGCCACAGCTGCAGCTGGAAAACACGACGCTGGAGGTGTTGGACGAGTCGAGTGTTCGCCCTGGAGACTGGCTCACGCTGCAGACGACTCTGCAACGGCGTCACGTCAAAGCGAACGAGACGGCACCTCTAGCAGCCACGTTTTACGATCACGTGGATCCGAAGAGTCCATTTCGTAAGGAGCATGTATGGTTTCTCGTCATGGACAAGGAAAGTGGTCGGCTCTATTCGGCGTGGAAGGTACGCGTTTGTTTGCACTTGAAGTTTGTAGCCAAGTGTCTGCAGCCAATGCTTGGTACAAACTGTGTTGCTACGTACGAATGGTAGTGTCTGGACCTATCTCAGCAAGTCGAGCTAAAACGAGGTTTCTTGGGACCCGAGACTCCAGGTACTCATCGCGACCTCTTTTTGCGCTGTACGGAGCTAAGGCGTTGCTGTGAACTCGTCTGACGGGGAGGTTTGATGTATATTGGTGCAGGCAAGTACGAGCTGGAGGTGCGTGTGCTGTGCCCGGCGTATCTAGACGTGCAGTCCAAGACCACGCTGCCCCTTGTCGTTGGGACATCGTAGGCACTAGATGGAAGAGCACTGGCTGGAGTTTGAGCATAATTGAGTTCTCAAGTTTCGATGAGATTGTCCATTCCGCTTCAGTATTTGTTGCATGCGCACATACGCTACTAAGTCGCTTTTGGTGCAGCGGACCACTTTTCCAGTACGGAACCACCTTGCGCTCTCTTCAATCGGCTTGTCAAAAAGAGGACCCACGACGCCACCGCTCCATTTACTCGGTGACACCTCGTCACGTACCAGCAGGTTCACGCACCAGCATTTCTACATCCAGTTCGTGACAACAGCCCCCGCAGGTCGTATCTGTGCACACCTTGTTCGACAACCCATAAATCCAGTCGTATATCTCGTCTCTAGACGCGCATGGCGCCGAGCGGCGTTAGCAAGTCTCAAGCGCACAGAACGTACCCAAAGCCAGTAGTATCCGCTGTCATGGCGAAGTCTACTGCATTGACAGACGACGCTCAGAAAATAAACGAAGCCCACAACATTTGTGACGTTGTTGTGGTGTTCCCATCCTTGACCATTCGAGGAGCTCCAACGCGAGTTGAACTAATCCGTCAGTTCTGGTTCTTCGGTAAACAGTGGGTACTGGAGCTACCTGCTAGTCTCATTGATCCACAAAAAACTTTTGAACGTGGCAGCCAGGAGAAAATTGGAAGAGAAGACGAGCTGCATTGGCCCACGAGTGCTGCCCATATTTTCGCCGATAGCGAATGACCAATGCGTGATGGATGGACACTACCAACTTGTGCTTGTTACAGCAGCTGGATCCCAACGAGATCAGTCACGTCATACATGCATCTCTGATGGTCGTGAAGTGGCTGAAAACGCGTAGACGGATCGAAATCGCTGCCATTCGCGCCCCACTTGTTCTTGTACACGCGCTCGACTTCTTGCGCTATGCCGTGGACATGGAACAACTTGAGCACACCGACGAGAGTTCGCCAATCGACCCTTCTTATTCTTTTCCACATGCAGTCGTCTCGTCCTTGTAGCAAACGGTCTCAGCAAGCGCACAGTCGCTCAACTGATGACACAGTGGCCTTGCGACTTGTTCTTGTCGTCCTCATGTTCCTTTCTTGCTTGCGCTTCTGCTTGTTCGTCTTCGTACTTTTGCAAGCGAGCCTCCCGCCGCAAAAAGTATCCAGCCGTCCGGTTCAGTTTGAAATGGCGTTGACGACGGCGAATGCGCTCGCGTTGCTGCTCGAGCTTTTCCTCTACGACATCTTGGCCGTACGAGTACGGCGGCATGTGGTCCCGTCGAGCAGCTTCTGGTCCGTAGTGGTGGGCCAGCCAGACGGCTTCATTGATTCCATAGAGCGGACGTGCTCGAAGGTCTGGCGCCCCTCCAGTCGCTGCGTACGGATGCGCTGTTGTCCCGGATGTATCATGAGGCCGAAAGCTCTGTACTGGACGCGAGGCGTCGTACGCCCGTCGTCGTTGAGCGTCCGTGAGCACCGCATGAGCCTCACTCACGTGCTTAAAGCGCTCTGCTTTGGTCTTGTCATTGCCTGTCACGTCTGGATGGAGCGACTTGGCTACAGAAGAACGTAACACGAACACAACAACCATAAGAACGACAGTTGGACCAGCAGACGTTCAGACGACATCCGCACCGAGTTGAAGGTACGCGGTCTTGATCGTCTTTGTTGACGCAGTGCTACAAAAGCAGTGCACCACATTGTTAACAGGTGAGACATATCAGCGTGCGCGGGTGCTACAGCGATAGAGCGAACGGTACGTGGCGACATTCAGCACGCGGTAGTAGTCGACGGCCGTCATTATCGACGGGACGCAGGACGTGCGACTCGGGCGTGCAGGACAATTACGTTGCAATAATGTATTTCTGGAGGACACAAAATTTGCAGACGGAACAAAAAAAGAGTAAATAAAGAGAAGCAAAAGTACGACAGAGAACAATTGTGTCTTTAGCTTATAAAAAAATAAAGCGGTTGAGACTGGGGAGATCGAAACAAGAAGAGGCGCGAGAGAAAAATGCTCCACAAGACGAGGAAATACAGATCATGTATTACGAGGTAGAAAATGACCGAGTGGGGTAGAACAAATGAGAGCGCATCTACGAATGCTGCACGACCGCATCTGCACAAGGTGTATATCGCATGGATCAATACATCGAATTTTTCGCTATTCGTGTGTACGATGGTCTCGCTGAACTGTCTTATGAGAGCATTTCTGGTGCTCAGGGGGTGTCGCATCAGTCTGTTGCATGGGATGGAATAAATACACCGGGCATTATTGCTAAATACCCCGGGCATTATTGCTAAATACACCGGGCATTATTGCTAAATACACCGCGCGCCTATCCATTAGACCTAAGTTTAAAATGACAACAGTGGTATCACATTCAGGCCATATTAATTCGAATAATACAGTATAAGCTAAGTAGAAATGCACCTGTAACATAGCCACGTCAATTCAAAAAGTAATTCTTCGTTTTCCAATGCATGATGATGAGCCCTACATCCACCTTTACAACTGCTGCTGACACCGCTTCGGTCGTTGATACTGGTACTAATTATGTCGTCGCTGACAATCAGGGTACGTTCTAAGTTGACGCTGGCGCTAATCCTGCCGCCGCTGATCTCTCATGGATCTGTGAAGAATCTCCACCGTTCGGGCCTATTGACAGTCAAAAGACGACTATAGAGACTTTGAATCAGTACGCCGTACGCCAAGGCTTTGCTATTAATGCACCCCGCAGCCGTTCGATTGGTCGCAAGCACATTTTTCTCTTATGTTCGCAGGGAAAATTATAGGTGACTTCATAGTCGGCCCACGTCAATGCGAGATCGCGGAACAAAAAAGGTTGGCTGTTTATACGAGCTCGTGACCATGTATGACGAGTACGCTCCAGAAGAAAGTGCCTGGTCAACGCTTTGTGTGAACAACTCCCCGACCGGTCACTCCCGTTGTATCAGCAAGACTATGCTCTCAGCGCTACCGGCAGCGCGGCGTGCGACAAGAGAAACTGAAGACATTAATTCTAAGGTCGTCCAGATGCATCAAGATGGAGCTGCTCTACGGATATGTGTGCGTGTTGAAGTCACATACAGCAGGTCATTATCTTTTTATGTCTAGTAGCTCAGCCTTTTTAGACCGTAAGTCTCCGTTGATGCCCTAGGTACCATTGCCACGGCGTCAGCTTCCTCTTGCGACATAGCAGTTACCCGTTCTCCCTAATTTAGGACACGTGATTATATGTTAAGCCGCGGGAGCATTTCAAGGGAGAGGCTAAATACACCGGGCATTATTGCTAAATACACCGCGCGCCTATCCATTAGACCTAATGTTTATATGACAACCTTGGTGACGCAGCCAAGCCACTTCAATTCGAATATCACTGGATAAGCTAAGAATAAATGCACCTGTAACATGGTTAGGCCACAAGGATTCAAACAGAATTAGAATTTGGCAATTAGAAACGCATGCGTTTACACATTGAATGGCGTATCCTAGGTTGAGGAGAATGGACATCTGCTATGGCGCAGGAGGATGCTGACGCCGTGGCATTGGTGCATTAGACATTGCCGTAGAAGGTACGGACTGGAAAGGCTGAACTGACTGCAGCTGTGTGCCTTGTTGAGGTCCACGCAACGCTACAGGTTAGTTACAGAGTGTGAGCTGTGACGGCCACTGGGATGTGCTCATGGTAATTAACGCATAGTCTATTCGGATTAGCTCAATCACAACACGAGACGGACACCGGCGCAGGTCGTGACCAGGTGTGTGGAAGTGACTGAATTTTCTGCTACCACAATGCCGCTATGTAATCTCAACCCCCGACGGTTGACGCTTTGTAGTTTTCTGGTGTGTCCGCTTGCGTGACGTCGTTTTCAGGATGCGGAAGGGAGGCAGGATACCAGAAACACCTCCATCGGGGCTTTTGTCGTCGTCGAGATTATCCAGATATCACTGATCTGAAAAATTACTAAATTCGATGGGCCTTTTTTCTCTGATGTGTCTGCAGATAATGTGCGCGCATGGGATGCCATGAACCCTCACATAGTATCCGGTACATTCGTTGAGATTTTTGCGATCGAGCGATAGCAGGTACTGTTTCTTGAGCAGCATCAACGCGTGACGAGAGATCTTGCGATGCAGCTTCAAAAATATCTCGCCAGGTAAGTTTGTGAGTATCCCGACTCTATCCTTTGCCATCGTTTCACTATTTCTTTTGTAATTATAATCGGTACCTCGGGTAATTCGTCTGTAGACTTCGAAAAGTATACCACTTGCGCTGTTGATCCGACTCTATATATTCTTGTAGTGTGCTCGTTCAACTCGCGAAGTGAACGTATGCCCAAAATGTTGGTATTGGTCGATGCTGAATGATGACCAGTGATGTCGAAGAGAAAACTTATTCTTGTTGAGGTATGCGATAGTGTTAGAGTCCTGTTAAAAAAAGGCATTAACATAAATGATGATTCAATGTTAGTAGCGAAAGTATATAATTACACACCGCAATCGTAGGTAGCTGCTGCCAAAGCTCCATGAACTTTTTTACGGTAGGCGCATGAAAAATAGACTTCCAGTGTGACATGAAGGCTGTCCAGCTCTCATTACCGGCATCCATAAAATTTTGTCTGCATCGGGTGATAATGTTGTTCGCGATGTGAAATCTGCATATAACTATCAATGCGTGAGGCCACCTTTCCGCGATTGCGTTGATGGGTCCAACGTCGCAATCAACGACAAGTATCTTTGGAAGTCTCGGGATTATCATGTCGATCTCATTTATCATCCATTCATAATCCACAAATGCTTCCCCATCCATACATATAACTTCGGCAGTAATAATTTGGTTAGTACTAGCAAATCCAACAACATGAAGGAGCAAGAGGATGTACGCATTTGTCTTAAATGTGCAGTCAATCATAAATTTTTTTAAGATGACGATATGTCAAGCCCTTGGTCACTTCGGGCTGCCAAAAAGGTGTCGAACGTGGTTGTCTTCGTCCACTGCATCCGTGGATAAAATATTCTGGTCCTTCTGTTGAACTTCGAGTTGCAAGTTGGATGTTGAAGACGACACTTGGTTGCATGAGCCAAGACTACCGTTGGAATATTGGGTTAGCGGCGACGGAGGCAAAACGACAGTTGGAAGGCGAAAGGGCCCGTGTGACGAGAGTGGCGGTTGTTCTTGTAGTAGGGAGTAGTTAGTGATGCACCAACAGGAGTAGCCAATGTTGATCGTGTTTGTATAATCTTAGTTCAGTTGTGAAAATACACTCAAGGGCTCACATCTGCTTTTAGTTCCTTCCTCCGATCAATTTAACTGGGTGATGAGCCCAAAATACACGGGAAAAACATCGAAGGAAATGGTAAAGCAAAAGTACACGAGCGAAGGAATTCCGATCGAGTGGGATGGGTGTGATTGGCAGTTTTACAAGCTAATTATGCGAAATGTCTTCGAGGAGCAGAAGATGAGTTATATGATAGATAAGTGGTACGACAAGACAAAGGTTATGACGGCAGAAGGCCAAGAAGCTTATGATCAACTACAGCTCAGGGCAAAGCGCTACATCTTCACAAGTTTGTCACGTGACCTGTTGCATCAGGTGCGTGAACAAAAGACAGCACCAGAACTGTGGAAAGCCTTGGTGGCTATCTATGAAGACAAGTCGGACCCCACTGTTCGTGGACACCGTGTCCGGCAGCTGGTTCATGAGCTTTAAAACGCAAAGCTGGAGGAAGATGGGATCTTAAACGCGCACCTGTCACGCATGTTTAACCTCCGCACGGAATTAGCAGATCTCCAGTATATCGTCAATGAACTCGATATGCGAGAAGCTTTGCTGGCAAGCTTACATACAACGACGCAGATCAACCAACTACGACAGACTGTGTGGTTTTGCAAGTGACTCAGCAGCATACAGTCCAGAGAAAATTCGCGAGCTTCTTCGCACAGCCGCCGCTCTTCATGAGGTGACCACAAGCGGTTTTGGTATTAGTGCCCTAATGGGCGGGAGGCGTAAAGACGTAGATCGTCAGCGCGACAAAACCCCCGACAGATCATGGACAGCAAAGGATCCATTGCAAATGTCCATCGCTACGAAGGGACCTTTAAGGCGAAGGACTACAAGAAGAGGTGTTACACGTGCGGCAGTAGTGAGCACCTTAAGAGGGGTTGTCCAGATCGTGATAAACACGGCGAAGGTGTAAATATGGTGGCAGCAAAAGGTGTCGTTCGCCGTGAAGGCAAACGGAACATGGCAACGAACCTCACGCACTGTGACGTGCTTAAGGTATTTGGAGAAGATCAAGACGTAGGTAGCCTGGAATTAAATCACGTGGACGAAACTCAACAAGACAATGACCCAACTTGCCAATAATATTGAGATGCAAGCGTGGTATATTGACACTGCATCCAATACACATGTGGTAGGAGACAAGCGGTACTTTATTCGCTATCGGAAGCTCTCTCGCGATGAAGCAACCGTGCGTGGAGTTGCACCCAGCTTTTAGGAGCAACTAGTCGGAGTTGGGACGATCTTACTTGAGACTTCTGCTGCTGGAAAGACAGTGCTTACAGTTATTGACGACGTACTACTAGTTGCTGGCGCAAGAAATCTGCTATTGTCGATGGAGCGTGCGCTTGACGATGGTTTAAACTCGAATGGGACTCCACTGCGCATCGATTTACCATACTGAAAAATGATGAATCGGTGGCACTAGCCGACAAAGTCGGAGCAGTATGGGTATTCGAGGGACAAGTTGCATTAGGTAAACACACCAAGCCACATCCATAAACGCGCGTGATA